CGGAAGGTCTCGGGTTCGATTCCCGATTCAGCCGACTTTCGGACCAATATTTTTCTCGTCTTTTTCTTACAGGGGATGTTAAGAGAAGGAACAAGGGGAATTTCTGAGATCCCAACCATAGGATTCAAATTCCTCAGTTTCCAAAAACTTCTAAATATTAATTTGTCGCAATAACATCGCGTTTGGCTCTTAGTCGAGATGAAGATGGAGTTTTTTATTAATATATATGTTCAATGAACACAACAGTAATTTAAGTCACTGAAAGGTTTAGTCAAGTTAACAAATTTTTCTTCGGCGCGCAATAAAATATAAAAAATGTGTATTCGATTAATTTTACTATATGTACATAGTAATTTATTATGTACATTTTAAAATTTTTTATTGTAAATATTAATCAGAAAAACTCGTAATAAATTCTTCCAATACCATATTGTCCTGCGATTACCATGATTTCTAGGGTAAATTCTAAGAGAAAATTCTCTCTGCGTATGTACATAAAATCGATATGATAATATATTAGTTTAATAACACTCTTTCACCCTAATTTTAGATCATATCACAGCGCGAACTCTTTCTATCAAAGTAACATGAAGGGAATAATATTTCGGATAACGTTTCGCCCCGAGTGTTCTAAAGATGCCTATGGGGCTCTCTTGACAGCTGAAGCTTAGGTTTCATTAATTTTCACGCAGATTCGCCCCCGGGAACGTACGCATGTATACATATATGCATGTATGCGAAGAGATAAAGAGAGAGAGAGAGAAGGGACGACAACGCGATATTCTCGGCGGAGTCCGCGATCGTTTTCGTCTAACGGTCCATCGACGATTATCGGGCAAGATCTCGACGATAACATCGCGGAGACAAACATCGGGGATCCGTTCTCACGTTGCTGGCGACTACTCTTTCTCTTTTTCTCTCATTATATATCCGACATGTGAAAGACGGTAGACGCGTCTGGATATATGAAAAAGAAAAGGATACGGGACAATTAGCGGCTTTTATATACGTTATACAGTAAATTGAGGCTAATCGCGAGAGAGATGAACGAAGAAGAGGGGACGCCGAAAATGGAATTACGCCCTAATGACGGAAGCGGGTCGATTCATTTATGAAATTGCGTAAGCTCTCGGAGTCACGTCGGCGTAAATATGAGGGAAAACGAGGGACACGGGTAACTTACTGCAAGTGCTTATATTCTACGTGCACGCACGATTATAAACCCTCTGATGCCTTGGGGTTTAAGATCGTCCGGATATACACCTTTTGTATATATAATTGCACTACCGTAGATACATTTTTAAAGACATTTCAATTTATCAAATTCCGTTTTATTCCGATTTATCCGACTGCGATCTACTATAAGTAAGTACTATAAAATTTATTTGCATTATACACAGAGAATTTTTTCTTAAAATTTACCCAGAGAATCATGATAATCAATATAGATATAGGTAGGACAATATGTGGTATTGGAGGAATTTAGTTTGTCTGATTATTATTTATTACAATAAAAAATAATATCTACCACAGTAAGATATGTTCGATTAATTTTATTATGTATGTACATAGTAAAATTTATTATATATTATACATTTTAATATTTTTTATTGTGATAAATATTAATCAGAGAGAAACTCATATAAAATTCTTCCAATTACATATTATACCATGATTACCATGATTTTCAGGATAAATTTTAAGAGAAAATTCTCTCCGTGTAAGCATGTACATATTATTACAAATTTTCTAAAAATAAAGATATTTATAAATGTCTAAAAATTATGCAACATAATTTTTAGATAAATAAGATAATTAGAGTTAGAGCATAGAAGAGAAATTAAAAATTTTAAAATATATACGCGACAAGCATTTAAATTTCGTTTCATTAACCTTGTTTCTTTGATGTAATTAGAATGTATTCGTGGATCGTGAGGGGCAGTTCAATCGTTACCAAATCGATTACACGATTATATCGCAAAACGAGGCCACCGCCGCTACTTGAACGCGCCTGCGAACGAAGCGGAAACTGTTTTGAAACTGTCGTGTTTTACGAACGCGCGAGAGCGCGATATTGCACGCGAGCCGCTAAATGTTGCGAGTATAATAGTTAATGGAGAGGTTAATGGTTAATAAACTAGGTTGTCGTTATTCTGCGCACCGTGTATACTTTCTCTGTTTAACCTTTTAATTCTCCGATTATTTTGTAAAACGAGGAACGTTTTGCAACAACTATGTTAAACAAGTACATTTTTTTTATCGTTATACATGCAGTTTTTTTGTTAAATAAAAATGTTACAAATGCAAAATTCTTTTTCACAAGGGAATTTTTCATGCACAAAAAATAGTTTCATCAAGTATATATCGAATATGTATTAAAAATAAAAATATCAGTTACACCGATAACAAAACTAGAAAATAAAAAAAAATCCTGAATATACAATTTTTCATCTTTAAAAATATATATATCTTTTTATATTTTTCTAGGCTGCAATTACAGCGTCAAAAAGAGAGAATAATTATTAATAATTTTGTCGAACATCATATAAATTATAAAAATTGCTAGTTGGCTATATTTCAATTTTTACAGTTATAATCGTGATATATTTTAAAGAATAGTAAAAGTTTTGAGCGTGCGCGCGTAAATGAACTGAAACATATTTTGCATTCAAAACACTTAGCCAACCATTGTGTGATAGACCTTGGGAGAAAGCTATTATTACGATTCAGTCGAAAATTTGAAAAGGTTCAGACAAACTCGAGGTAAAAACTTTGTGTATAGGATCTGCGTTATACCTCAGCAGGTAGAAAAGTGGAAAGTTGTGTAGGCCTATTTCTTTCTAATAGCCTACCGAAAGACACCACACTTCTACCTAAACGTCCACTGTCAACCATGCGATAACAATCAGTTCGTTCAGCATATTTGTGACGCGATCGTGTCACGAAAATTCATTTCCTCTGTTCGATTTCTCCAACATTTACGATCGTTTCTTGCGTCAATTACGTGGATTTGTTGGACTTTAATCTGGTCAATAATTTTTAATCGATACATATATGAATCATTTTTTTGTTATTCAGTTAAATTTATTGCATATATATCATTTGTATGATTCTCTTTATACGGAAGATTAAATAGATATATCGATAGATAATAGTACAGTATATAACAAAAAAAAAATATATATATATAAATTAAAAGGAATTTATTGAATGAAAATAAAATAAAGCTAATTGTTTAATGTATTTATTTAAATTCTAGAGATTCTAGATGATAAGTCTAAGATTACAACATCATTACTCTATTATTAGACACAGTGCGCAAAATACCGTGAAATACATCGTCGAAAAGTATGAATTAAAAAAAAATTGTAATGATAATCATAAAACAAAATTGTCGACAACGTATTCTGCGATTTTAATTTCGAAGAAAGCGTAAAAAGAAAATTTACCCTGTATATATAAAAATTGAAGGTTAACCCCAAACTGCCATTCTGTAAAGTGGCTCTCACACACAGAATCGTATATTTTGACGTTTGACGGATTACGTAACGAAACGCGGAAGAAAATTCCATCGTCGCGCGTAGAGAGAGAGCGAGAAAGAAAAAAGATGGAAAGAGGAAACGATACGATACGATCCGTCGCTGCAAGTGTTTGCCCGTAAAATATTTGCGCGTAGAGTCGTGCTCAAACACACACGTCGGCCTGTCATTTTCCGTGTGGTACAACATATCGATGCGTATTTGTGCGCCGCGCGCTATGCCGAAGGCGCGTTCTTCGGCACGTTTCGGCGCGTGCGAAAGCGCGCGCGTAAGCCTTACACGCCTGTGCACACACGCGCTATTACCTATGTACACGCATATATCGCGTGTCGTTACGCGACCCTCGTTGCCCCAAAATTTCTTTGCATAAATACATAATTAATTCCACTTGCGAATATTTTTCCTTAAAAATTGACCCTAATTTACTCTCTTTCTTTTCTCTCCCATCTTTAATTACATTTATAATCATATTAATTATATTTTTGTCAAAGAATGAAATATGCAATATAATGCATCCTGCTCTCTAGCATTTTTACACAGGGAGAATTTTCTCTTAGAATTTATTCCGAAAATCGTGGCAATTAATTTACAACAATAAGATATAAAATATGTTCTTTCCTAAATACCATCTTGTTTCACGATTACCATGATTTTCAGAGCAAATTCTAAGAGAAAATTCTCTCCGTGTAGATTCAAATAAATTCGGGAAAATTGAGAAGATGACTTTACAAAATCTTGGAAATAAATTCCAAGAAATCACACACGTGTTAGACGATTGAAAGTATACCTAATGCATTAAATCGAGAAAAATGTATGTCACACAGATTGGATCGATTTATATAGATTAAAATATTTCGAGGAACGAATTAAATGAAGATCTAAGACGTTTAAATATGCATATATATTCGCTCGTTCTAGAATTCATTTATTACATTTGACATGAAAAATTTCGAGACACGAATTTTACGGAACGTAGAACGTATGCAACGAAATGCGCGAGAAAACGCGAGAAAAAGAACGCAGAACGGAATCCACTATAGGAGTGTCGAACGAACGAGAGAAGCGAATTAATGCCTTTCACCGTGATACCGATCGTTAATACTTCGCCGTTACGTGAGTCGCCGCGAAGTTGTCTCGCGATTCCTCGCGGTGCATCTACATTCTCGTAATATAACGGATCTCGCACAAAATATATCCGTCCTGGAATTGCTGCGTTGCGATATCTCGAGACCATTTCGAGCTGTAAAAAATCATAGATTAACGCTCTTTGTCGCAACTACATACATATATTACATATATTACTATCAGATTATCAGATTATTATCACAAGAGGCTCCCTCATGATAGATTCGAGGGACGTATATAAAAATTTCGCCAAATTCCGCGTACGAAAGATGCCCTACGAGATATCAGCAGCGCATTCCTAAGGGTTTTTATCGCAGAAATAAAACTTGGACTCACCTAGAATTCACTCCATATCGTCGGCTGGGCTCCGAAATTGCCGCACACTCCCGATGTTCCTCTGGCACTTGCACACACATACACACACGGTATCCCGGCGGCGAAGATAAAGAAAGGGGCACGACGATCACGATCGACGACGACGACGACGTCGTCGACGATACCCCGGGGTGGGGGAGCGAAGGGGACGAACGAAGGACGGGCCGGGACGCGTCGTTGATTCCCTCAGAAGGGCCTTGACGAGCGGTGCCGACGCGATCCCGTCGAACAGTTCGTCACGGTCGATAGAGGTGCACGGACGAAAGCAAGCGCCATTTTATCCCGTGCATTCGCGGCAACGCGAAAGGTGGACGGACGGCGGCGGTGCACCGCGCGCGCGACGCGACGAGAGAGTGTGTGTGTGTGTGTGTGTGTGCGTGTTTGTGTGTGCGCTCCTCTCTCGCGTGCGCTGTCTCTGGTTCTTCCCCTCCTCTCTCTCTCACTTCAACGGCTCGCCACTCCACTCGTACCCGACGCGAGTTGCGAATCGTTGCGCCGTATAATCGCGGAGAAGAATTTCTCGAAGATATTATCCGCGCACTGGATTATCACCACTTTAACACTGTACCAGACTCGTTCACTGACTCGAAGTTGCCGGCGCGAACGAAGACACCATCCGAGCAGAGAAAAAAAAAAACAACAATCCTCGTATATTACTGTTCCGACGTTTCCGTCGTTTACATCAACTCAAACACTTTTTGATACGCAAGTCCGTTCGCTCTTTCCTTCTTCTTATCGCCGCGTTGTTTTTCTCGGTTCAGTTTCCTCGCGATGCGATGCGCGAGAAACGAAGGAACGACGCCGGCGCGAGTCGTCGCCGCCAACCGTCGTGCACAGCGAGAGGACACGAACTGAAGCGCCGAGCGACGACGTCGAACGGTGGAGGTTGCCCGGCTGGTTTCCACCGCGCGTACCGCTATTCGGCCGTCTTACACTAGCGCCGCCACTCCGGGGAGCTGCACCCTCGTCGCGCGCCGGCCATCTTCTCTTCTCTCTCCTCTCCGGCGTTCTTCCCCCTCTTCTGTCACGGCGTGTCGTCGATGCCCGCCGAGGACTGCGAACTCTCGGCGTGTCCCTCGCGCGACGTTGTCCTTCGGACGAAAGGAGCGTCGCGACGCGATTTCTGGGAATACAGGCAGATACGCAGTCTCTCGCCGTTTATTCGTTCGCGATGAATTCGCGGAGATCGCGACAGGCGAGGTCATTGATTTTTTGAGCCCGTCAAGTGTAACCCGGGCACATGCGCGCTGATACCGGCGATGTACGTGTGTCGTCCTCTCTCGTACTCCGGAATGTCCTAGGCCGCGCGATTATCCCGACTTTCGCCCTTGCACTCGCGAACTGTCGCTCGAAATTTCGCGTTTCGAGTTTCCGTTGCAGCGATATTCACGTCATCGTCGTCGACAGGCTTGCCGCTTGACGATGGATTCATTTGAAGATCCCGGTGTTTCATCTAGAACACACGATTCGTTTTCTATATTTTATTTGGCTCATAGCTCTTTATTTGTTTAATAATTATTATGTTTAGTTTAAATTGTTCAAATATTCATGTTCATTATGTTTCGATATTTAATATTTTATTTCGAAAAATAGCTACATCCAGGTTGACAAGTATTTTTATTGCAAATGAATGGAAACTGAGATACTAAGAATTTTTCTCGAGTTATACGACGACTGACTCGAGGATTAAATAATATTCATGCACGTGTCGTTTGAAAGTCCAATTTTCAATTTTACAATTCGTAAAATCAAACTGCGGAGATTGCTCTATTTAAATCGAGCGGCGAAAAAGTGCGCAAACTTTATTCTTTCGAATCAAAAAATTGCAGGAAAGAATAAAACGCGGTAGTGTTATTAATGCCACAAATATCTAATTACCTTGACGTAACATTATACTGTATCGCGTGCGAATTTTAGTTAGCTTTATGGAGTCAGAATACGTGCATTAAATATGAACCCGGGATATGTTAACGTATACATATGCATATCAAATATAAATGCCATTAACATTCACACGTATAGAACATGAATATTATATAATAATTTTTGTAGCTACATTGAAAAAAATTATTAAATTAATAAATAGTTATTTTAATACCGCCTAAATAAATTATTTATTTGAAACAAATAAATATATTTGTCTGCCTTGAAAAGGATTTTCTTATATCAAGTGAATATTATTAGTTTCAAATAAATAAGTTATTAGGCAGTATTGAAATTAATATTTATCCGAATTCAATACATGTTTCAGTGTAGTTATTAATACAAAATGAGTTACAATATTCATATAAGATAATGTACCACTATTTGTAATATTATAAAAAATATAGAACGCGTGAATATCCATGTAATAACACGAATAAAAATTTCAAACTGACACAATAATCTAGATGATACTAAAAGCGAGAAACTATGCAAGACGAAGGACGAACAAGGAAGCGTGCGAGCCAGGTTTGTTTACAATTTATTCGATAGCACGGGTACAGTTTTTAATCCGCTTAAAGATGATGTGACGATGTAAAATATCACATTGAACCACCAGCAAAATATCGTAGAGTAATGTTATGTGTACTCGTAAGTATATTCGGTACATTAAAACTATCAGAATTACATATCTATCATTTGCATATCTATAAAGCATTGATTATTTTGCGGATTCGCGCGCATTGAAAATTTAATATAGTTTCCAAGCATATGAATACATATACATATAAATACATGAAAACATACATTTCATTTCTCGTTTCGTTTCATTTTGAGTGTAATAAATTTAAAGAAAGCATTTGACAGAAATCGTAAAATCAATCGCATATCGTAATTTTCGTATCGTTCTCGAATAAATATTGGTTAAGAAAATCGGGAAAGACATCTATAATGTTAAATATTCTGTGGCAGTGCCAAATCGCGTGTTTCGAAAGTGTATCGTAATAAGGATGTTAGTTTCCGAGACGCGTAAGACATGCATTTCATTTTCGTTTCGAGTGCAAAAAATTCGAAGAGACGATATCACAAAACTTACAAGTCGTAAAATTAATCGCGGATCGTAATTTTCGTATCGTTCTCGATTTACATGTCGGTTACATTAAAAATATTAGGAAGTGCGTCTCTCTAACATTGAATATTCTGCGGCGACGCCAAATTGCGCGCGCACGCCGGAAATGCAACGTAATAATGACGTAGTTTCCGCAACGCGTCTCTGCGAACCGTACGTTTTAAATGTGAAAAGTTTAAAAGAAGTGCATATAAAAGCGAATCTCTGATACTTTCCTCGATTGCATCAAATCGCATCGTTTTATCTTCGTTCACTGAAAAAAATACATGTAATTTTACATGGAAATTACTAGTTCAGAACTGGAAAAGTTACTTGCTTATCACTGTAATTTTTTTTCCATTTGCTCTAAAGTGAAAATACATATTAATGTAAAAATACATGTAAAATATAGGTAAAATTACTATTTTTATGCAAAAATCATATGTAATTTTAAATTTACTATTTTTACTTTATTAAAATTTTATTTTATAAGCAATTATCTATTTTATTTATAACATTATTTTATAGCATTTATACATTCCTAACATTTCTTATGTGTAATTACATGTTCAGTGAAATATTTTTAATCTTGAAAATATTTAAGAATATATTTCATATAAAATTACATACAATCTGTAATCTTCCATGTAAAGTATCAATATTGCATGATTATGCTGGGTCGGAAAAAACCTAGCTTAATCATGTAATTTTACATAAATATTTTTTTCAGTGTTGCATCGATTTGCATTATATCCCGGGACGTCGTATTAAGATATCGATATTATATAAGTATATGTATATGTAGCCTACGTTTCTCGAAATTCTCGCAATTTTACAAAATAAAATTTATTATTTATTTTATTAATTCTTTCGAATTTCTGTATGTTTTCAGAGTTAGTTTATTTTGGAAGTATCTAAAGGAGTATAACGGCTGTTTCAGCGATTACACATTGAGGGAAGAAAATAAATTATTTATCATATAAATATTATCTTATTAAATAATATACATGAACATGTGAGAAATTTGAATTCGCAAAGTACCTCTGAATATAAGCATCTTCATTTTTATCTGGCCTATACAAATAATTATAGCGAGAGATACTTTTTCATTTATCATATTTTTGAAAGTATTCACAAAAAGTAAACAATAATTAACATTTATAAATCCTCATTAATGTATATCTCGATGCTAACTAAGCTAATGATGTTACACTTTAAACGAGTACATTTTTTAAAAATGTTATTAACTATATATCATTTATTTTATATTAATAAGTATTGAAATATTGAAGTAAAGAAAAATATAATATATTTAATGATCTTTTATCTCATATGGAGATTAAAAAATTTTTGTTGAGTTTTTTAATTCTTTCTAGATCTCCACTATTAATAATTTGACTTAATAACCAATATTTAAATTAATTTATCATAACTAAAAATTGACATTTTCCAATCAGAGAAAATCAGTAGGATAGGTACATATATAAAATTTGCAATCCTGCAGATATTTATCAAAATTGCTTATATTATAGATTTAGATCTTTTATATATTTGAAAAAATTAATAAAAATAAAATTAATCTTATTTTTATATCGAAACGCAGAGTTTAAAAATTGAGAAAGATAAATCTTTTAGATTTTATCCTAATTTTCTAAATTTTACAACTTACAAACATTCGTTACATTATACATTATATTTCGACAAGTAAAATTATTATTTATTTAGAATTTAATAGTAAAAATAGTAATAATAAATGATATGTATTTACCATATAGTTGCTCCGCTGTTGCCCGATGCCACCCCGGGCCTCCTCCTCGTAGAAGAAGCTTTGAAACACTTGCACTCGCGTTATTTTTTCTTTCGTTCGTAACATACGGCGACGTCCGGGTTCAACTATCACAATCTTCGACGCGTTTTGGTCAAAAACGCGAGAAACGCGAAAGCTTTCGCGCACAAATCAAACCGATGCTTTGTTTTCGCGTCGCCGCTTTTTCCAAGGCCCATTTATCGAAGGGCCTTATCGAACGACGTTGACGACTTCCCCGCGACGCACTCAGGAGTCGCCGATATTCCACAATGGCTCACTTCACTATCTCTTATATCCGAGTTCCGAGCCGAGCAAAACTTTAAGTCGTAGTTGCGGGGGGATACAATAGAGGTCGCGGCGATCGCGGAATGCACGGAAGCACGGAAAGCACGGAGAGCTCGACCACCAACGACCCGCACGCTACGCGTCTCGCGCAAGACTGATCCCAATAACCAATCGCTAGACTCTACAACTCGTTCGAGCGGCCGCGAAACGTGATTGGCGGAGCGTCGCCCCCCTCGATTGGTATAAAAGGAGCACGGGCCTAGCTGCGGACGATCAATTGATGCTCTGACTTCGTTCGATACACTCGTACTCTGTTATCAAAATAAAATTATATAGCTGATCGTCTAAATTCTAAATAAAACTTTGGCGTCATCTTATCTTTATGTAAATAATAAAAATATGTATTATCTATATCTGCATCTTAGATAAAAAAAAGTATCTTTACTAAATTATTTAAAAAGCTATTGATTTCAAATAAATGTATATTTCAATAGTGCCATTAACACCATTTGTTTGAAACAAATACAAATAAATATTTATCTGTTTTGAAAAAGTATTTCTTACATCAAATAAGTATTTTTTCACGGCAAATTAATATTAGTTTCAAACAAATGGTGTTAATGACACTATTGAAATAGATATTTACTTGAAATAAATTACTTTTTTCAGTGATAGAATAATTTTTCAGATAATTTTGGTTAAAAATCATAGCACATGAAAATACTTGAATAGTAGAGCTTAAGCAGTATATATAAGCAATAAAAATTTATAAATAAAAATATGAATACATATATTTTTATGTCCCTTTTATAATTTATATTTTTTAGACTCTACAACTCGTTCGAGCGGCCGCGAAACGTGATTGGCGGAGCGTCGCCCCCCTCGATTGGTATAAAAGGAGCACGGGCCTAGCTGCGGAGCATCAATTGACGCTTTGACTCCGTACGATGCACTCGTACGCAGTGTTGCTCTTATAGATTAATATAGATGATTTAAAATTAGCTAAAGATGATTTAAATATGTAAATTCATCATAGATAAGATGATTTTGTTTTAAATATTTCTAGATTTGCCGTGAAAAAATACTTATTTGATGTAAGAAATACTTTTTCAAAACAGATAAATAGTTATTTGTATTTGTTTCAAACAAATGGTGCTAATGGCACTATTAAAATATACATTTATTTGAAATCAATAGCTTTTTAAATAATTTAGTAAAGATACTTTTATCTAAGATGCAGATATACATAATACATATTTTTATTATTTATATAAAGATAAGATGACGCCAAAGTTTTATTTAGAATTTAGACGATCAGCTATATAATTTTATTTAGATAACAGAGTACGAGTGTATCGAACGAAGTCAGAGCATCAATTGATCGTCCGCAGTTAGGCCCGTGCTCCTTTTATACCAATCGAGGGGGGCGACGCTCCGCCAATCACGTTTCGCGGCCGCTCGAACGAATTGTAGAGTCTAGCGATTGGTTATTGGGATCAGTCTTGCGCGAGACGCGTAGCGTGCAGTTGTTAGGGTCAGGCTTTCCGTGTCTCCGTGCGCTCCGCGATCGCCGCGACCTCTATCGTATCCTCCCGCAACTACGACCTGAAGTTTTGCTTTGCTCGGAACTCGGATATATAAAAGATAGTGAAGTGAGCCATTGTGGAATATCGGCGATTCCTGAGTGCGTCGCGGGGGAAGTCGCCTTCGTCGTTCGATAAGGCCCTCCGATAAGTGGGCCTTGAAAAAAAGCGGCGACGCGAAAACAGAGCATCGGTTTGATTTGTGCGCGAAAGCTTTCGCGTTTTTGACCAAAACGTGTCGAAGATTGTGATAGCTGAACCGGGATGTCGCCGTGTATCACGAACGAAGGAAAAAATAACGCGAGTGCAAGTGTTTCAAAGCTTTTTCTACGAAGAGGAGGTCCGGAGTGGCATCAACGGTGGAACAATTATGGTATATAATTGATTTATTATTTTATTATACTGTTATTTATTTATTATTTTTGATTAAACTGTTAGTTTCATTAAATATACTCATATTTGCGTGGTACAGTTTTGTAAACCTAACCTAACATTTTGTTACAAAAATGTACCACGCAAATATGAGTATATATTACTTTGTATATAAAATATATATATATATATATATATGTATGTAATATTTGCTTGTTTTATTTTTAAAGGGAACAAGAAGGAATGAAGGAAATGGAAAGGAAGAGAGAAGACTCGGGATAACATCGGGCAACGGCGGAGTAGCTATATGGTAAATAATTTGTTTATTTATTTTATTAAACTATTATTTTGTAATAATTTTATTTTTTTAAATATTAATTATTTTAAAATTCCACTATATAACTTTAATGTATTTATATTTTTATATTTTACAGTTTACTACTCCGCTGCTGCGCATCGTATCGGTGAGTCTCTCATCAATTTTTACTTAAATTTTGGGTAATAATTTTGTGAAAATTCTTTCCGATTTTGCCGAAACTTTACAATATTGTGTATTTTTGTGCATGAATTACGAATCTGTAAATTAAAATTGTCGTTCTTAAGTAAGAAAAAGTTACAGTGTGATTTTCGGTAAAATCCAAGAGGACGGAATTTTCCTTCAGTTATTACCTATATTAATTTATTGAAACAATAAACCAAATGACAGTAAAGGCAAAGGAAAAATTCTCAATTATGATGTGCACTTCCACAAATGGAATAAAATATTACGAAATATCATTATTTTACATATATTATCGTTTCAAAATGTTTATATAAAACATTTTAATAATATTGATATTATGAATACGCTGTAATGCTATTATTAATATATTTCTAAATATGCAAATTTTTTAAAGAAAATGTGATTGTATCTATGAAATAAATATTATTTTATCTAAAAATTATAAGATACTCCAAATTTTGAACGACAATAATTAAAAAAAAGATCGATTTTTCAACGAATTTTACTTAACCGTAAGTACACATTTTGCAATAATTATGATTTCGCACATTCCTGACACCGTTTCACAAGTAACCGAGTTTCTTTGTCGACTCGAACTGGGAAAACTTGGCATGAGCCTCTTTGCGATGCTTTTAGCTATTAGAGATGTTATGAAGGCCTTTCAGGATTTTTTCGCACCTTTATATCATTCGTATTCTGAAAAAAAGAAAAAACTTTTCAGCTGACAAGTTCATATATTAAGATACCCAAGTTTCAATAATTTGCGGCCCTTTAAAGTCAAATATAAAGAGATATTGTTTAAAATCTGAATTACTTTTTCTTATAAACGTTATTGAAATATTCTTTAATTTACGGTGCTAAATATTCGATATCGCTTATGAAAAATCTTTGTCTTGTGAACATTTATTATTTTGCTAGAGCCAAAATCAGTCTATAATAAAAGTTATACATTGTTATCAATTTATATATATGATTAAAATGTATAATTAGAAAAATATAGAGATTTATCTCACTTGACTTGACGCAAAATGGGAAATATTTCTTCGCTCATCGAATGTTCCCATCACTCACTCTCTCTTTTTTAGTCGCAACTGAATTACAATTTCCGATAACAGAAAGATTAGCGATCTTCGTCGATCGGACCCGATACCTATATTCGTCGGGGCACGCCGGAAGCATTAAATTAGTTGCCATAATTGCGGCAGATACGGCAGGGAAAATTGTAATCGTCGCGAACGATACGAGTTATGGTTATTAGGAGCTCGTAAACGATGGATAGTGATAGTTTCGAGAGCGATCGATATAAATGTCGAGGGACATATATGATAGATATACATATGATCATGAATACCAACGATCAACGATTGTTGTATGTATTATATATTACATCATAAGAAAATTTTTTTTATTTTTTATTTTTTCATAATTTTAAGATAAATTCAACAAAAAAGCCTTTCATATATAATTATTCTTATCCTCTCCTTTCAATTATCGAACTTTAATAACGTATTACACATTTTACACTTTATTTTGTGAAATTGTCACTTAATTATTAATTGCGCGCAGTTGAGAATATTTTGGAAGATTATTTGAAAGATTAATTGGAAATATTGAAGAACCGCTTTATCTCATTTTCTCGATTTATTAGAGTATATTTATCAAATTAAAAGATGATCTTCTTAATTTCTTTTATTTGATCAATATACTTTAATAAATGAAGAAAATGAGGTGAAATGACTTAATCTTATTTTTATTTATTGATTTTACTTATATATTTGAAATATAAAAAATTGTGGAAATGTAAAAAAGCGATGATTAATGTGAGATTTTTCCGCGACTTAATTTTGAACTTTGGCTCCATCGAGATTATACCGTGTCGTAAGCTATCGGCTCCGCTTTCGTAGTTGAAGCGAGGGGGTAATCGTTCGTGATCGATCGAGATCGTTCCTCTATCTTGTGTGGTTGCGGCCGCGACGACGACGTAGTGCGGTAGCGTATTGGCGAGAGTAGACTGAGTAGAAGGACGGCTATTTCCGCATGACATCACACCGCCCGCATTTAGGGGGCAGCACGATTTTCTATTTTCTCGGCGGCTCTCTCGACATTGGTGGCCCGCAAGGTCGGTCCATCGAGACACGTTCCGATCAGTTTTTATTGCCTCCTTCCTCTTCTTTTTGCCCTTACGACTTGCTCTCAGCGCTCTTCGTTCAGAGAACGATGTTCCTCTTCTTTTCTTCTCTTTTTTTTCTCCCTCCCTCTCTCAAGTCTATAATCGTTTATTGCAGTTAGAAAATTCTTGATTTAATGTTGTATGAGATTGCGGGTTTTAGTCGTATCACGATAATGCTAGGTCCAGACTGGTTTAATTTATGACCGTAATTCATTTTCATTATCCCGCCCATGCCACCCTGTCATCGTCTCGCGTGTGTCTTTTTCAAAAATAAATACTTTATTTCCTATTGAAATTTATTTATTAAAGAATTATATATACGATTTACCGCCGTTAACATTTTATTATCTTATATAAAGTATACTGTAGTAAAGTATACTGCATGCTTTGAAAAGGATCATATATTTTTAGAGCAGTATATAACAAATTGTGATATTTTTTTTCTCAGCGCAGTTTTTTCTATTTTACGATGTATTAAATAAAAAGGAATCGTTTTACAATCAGACAGATATGTATTGTGGAATGACACAGTCAGCGAACTTATGTAAAACTCGAGTGAGGCGTGCACGCACGTCCCATTAACACGCCAGCGCGGCGATATAATCTCGCGCATCATTCCTCGGCTCTCGTTCCTAATCGAGAAATAATTGTACGAATTTGTCGGGACGGTCGCTGCGTTGCCGTCATCTCGTCGAAGAAATTCGTGCGCGCCCGTCATCGTGTTGTTTCTTTAAGTTTTTTCTACGCATCGGCCCGGAACAATGGAATCGACGTCGAGACAAAGGAGCTGCTCTACACTCTCTCTCTTGTCCGGTTTCCTCCGGTTTATGCACGGTACCGTTCGACCGGCGCTAACTCGGTTAACTATTCGTTAGCGATATTATAAAAGATCGCGAAAAACGGCACGCTTTTAACGTCGCCGCGCGGCCGCGCTTGATTCGTCCCGACGAAGCGCAATTAGAGCGTCAGAAAACTCGCGGATGGATATATAAATGGAAGCAACCTGTGCGTAGGGTGAACTCTCTCGCGTCGAAAACAGACGTAGGCAGATATAGACCGCGTCTCTCCGTTTTAGCAGAATAATTTAATGGATAATGTTGACGATTCCGTCTAAAAAATTGGCAATTTGCGTAGGAGAAAAACACGCATACGATTACAGATAAATATTAGGATTGAGTTCTGGAGCATCTTGGCTTTAAAATGTTGAGTCGAGATTGGCCTCGGACGGGAAAAATCTCGCGATTGCGGGGTAATTTGTATAAAGGCGAGTCGAAGAGCGAAATTACTCACGCGTGCGATTTCTTTGTTATTAATTTTTGTCGTTTACACCTGAAATTGTATTCAGATTCAATAGAACTGACTGCTGAAACCGTCGTCCATATCCGGGTCACCATCCATCCGAGACGATCTATCGATCGGTATATTACTCCCTCTTGATGGAGGAGATCCAACGCGGACCGCGGAAGAGGATTTCTGCGCGAATGATTCCGTAACGACCGATTACGCCCCGTTCGGCATCCGTCGGTTTCCTCACGTGTTTTAATCCCATTCATCCCGTTCGTTACGAAATCAGAAGCAAACCGGGCTACGTTTAGATAGAGTGGAGTTGTGCTAAGAATAAGTAGGTATCGTCGGGAAATCGCTGAACTTTGCGAAATCCGCGTAGATGTAGGTCTCGATTTCGCGCAAAAGACGAAATACATAATTACCAGTCTGGGTAATATAATCGCGAATACGTAATTGAAAATTATATAATTGTCACTTTTACTTTTCTCTTTTCCATTTTACTGTAAGAAAAAATTATATTTTTTAAAAGTTATACTTAGTTAAACACATACCTATACATTATTATATTTTATATTTTTTCTTCTATCTTATATACTAAATAGTATATAGGTATATTTAAATTTGTGCTATTTATTATTAAAATATCTTCACAAGAATTTTTTCAAGATTAAATTTTTTTCTCAGAACGTTTGAATCATTATTTATGCACTGTTTATGGGACAAATTCCTCGGTTACAAAAATCCCTCGGTGTTTCCATAGAATGATCGCAATCACCAAGGTTTTCTTTCGCTCTTGTTCTTTGGTTATTCATGCGTTCCTAATAGCACGTAGCGTTGCGTAGCGGCTGAGATTTTCTTCATGGCAGATAGATGATTTTTGCGCGTCTCGATCCAAGAGATCGGAACCGAGGTTCGAGAGAGGACAAGCAGCCGGAGCCTTGAACGGGCAGGAAGGGACAGGGAAGAGGAGAGAGAGGACCACGAAGAGGAGCGATCGGTTGGTCGGTCGATCGATTGATTTTTTCACGGTGTATGGTTGCATCGCTACTGCCCGTTGCAGGTGGAAGCGACTCTTTCCTCTGACCCGAGGCTTCTCAGAAATTCTCTCCAGTCATCGAGACGAATTCCATCGGAATTCAGAGCGCGGACGATTAATGGCTTTATACGTTCCTTAAAGTCTCCGCCGCGTCACAGATTAATTTACTTTTTCTCTTCGCTTCGGTAGAGACTGGAAATCGGACCGTGTTTCGTCATTTGACGAAAAGTTTGCGCGCGCTCTCCTCTTTCATCATAAATTCCATTTCGTGTACGACAAAGTACGGTACAAAAGTTGACTTGGTTCGTAGCTCTCGGGCTGTAAAACCCAAAACAACGCGTTCATTCGTGGGAGACGGAAAGATGAAAAAGGGACATCGGGGCACCGATCGAGAGAACGTTATAGAAGTAGAAAATAAAACGAGACGAATACATGTTACACGTGAAACGAGGGAGAGGTCATAAAAATCCGAAGCTCAGGTAATATATATAAAACCAACGATCTACAAGTCCAACTCGCGAGAGCGATCCTAATCTTGCGCATCGCGCTGGTGAGGGGGAGGAAGAAGGTTTCTACGAAAACCAAAAAAGATACCGTCGAAAAAGGTATACGTGAATAGCACGGCCGCTAAATTGCCGAGGTTCATTAGAAAATCACCGGTATGCGATGTGTGCCCGGGCACCCGGGGGAGAAATATTAGAGCCCGGAGGAATTTCGAGTACATCTTCGACGCTCAGATTTTTCAACCTCCTCTTCGTGTGTACTCGGTCCTCTTTTTTTTCCTTCACTCGCCCTGAAAACTTGTATTTCGAAATTACGCGACTTCGCCGATGCTATCGTCGCGATGATCGAGAATTCTATTCTAAACTCACACCGGGAGACGATTCATCCGTTCTCCTCTCGCTGGACGATTCGATTTCAAGGTCACTCGTTTTCTACTGCCATTTTTGGATACCTATCATAAACTCTGCCTCTATCATAGCTGCTGCCTCCACAAGTATTTTATTGTTTGATTCATGCTTTACCCGACATTTTTATTTCCGCTACCGTTCTACGGAAGATATATTCGTCGCGGATAAATGACAGTAAAAAGAAGCGGGAAACCTAGATCCGTCATACGTGTCTTGCGAGGATTTGGCTCGTTTGTTTGCCCATAAAGTGCGCTGGAAGGTCGCGAAATAGAACCGAACGACGCATAAATTTTACATAGTGACGCAGTATAACATACACACACACACATAACATGCACACATACTCTCGTAAGGATTTCGCGAATCTCGCGATAGTTGGAGTTAATCTCGGTAATTGAATAAATGTGGAAGACGATTACGAGACGCTATATATAGTAACGCTCGAGACGCGCTTTAACGAGCCACCGTCTAAATCATTGCGCTCGATTTACTGCAAATTTAATCTAGAGTTAATCGATATTTAATTTAAATATACTCATTTCCCCGTGTAACTAACATATTTACATTTCCCATCAGTCGCGCCGACGCTCGATCTATCTTCGCGTTAATTTGCAATATTCGACATCTCTTCCGTCTGCGGTTTAATAAAATTTAGCGACGCATTTTAATGGCTCGAAGAGATATAGCTACGATTTTGAAACCAATTCCAATGTTTAATAGTTTATCACAGTTTATTGCATTTTTTGTTTTGCAAAACAAGAATTTCCTCGCTATACAATATCCGTCAAATGGAAACACGCGCATATACGGAAACAAAAGCGTATAAACAAGGTTTTTAAAGAAATGGAGAAGTAAAACAAATGTGGAACTAATAAGCTATACCATTGCATATTGAAAAGTAATATTATTATCGCGGTTTTATTTTTTCTTGAATCTGGCTTTCTTTGCTGCTACTACGGGTAACTTTGGATTAGACTGATTTTTATGTTTCTTGCTTTCTACGTGTTGAGCAAACGTAGTCTCCGAATTCAATGATAGATTGCACGGAGCGCAATAATATTGGCCTGTAAAACAAAAATATTACAATTAAAACAATTTCATTGTTGCATTAATATTCCATTAATTGTACAACTCTAATTTCTTTTCTCCAATTTTTTCTATGCATGACATATATATTTTCTTACCTGATGGAGTCCGATAAATAGAATAGTCTATAGGTTCCGAGACGTTGGTCACGTTTTCGTTTTCAACTGGAAACGGAATAGGAAGAATCAATAAGTTATCGGATGACACATTTTATATATATATATTTGTCTCGTTCACACGGATATTACCGGGATCAGGCACGGCGAGTCCATTTAGCTTTAGCATTCTCAAATGTCGGGCTCCGCGTTTGTGGGTCTCCAGCTGATCAGGACGATTGGCCGAAACCCCGCACAAGTCGCAACGCAACGGCGTGAGGTACGATGATGCTGCGTAGATGGATGACATCGCGGCTGGATTCGGCACTGCGGCGGGTCCGTCGATCACCACCGGCGTTACGGTCGGCGCGGATTGCGCGTCTGTCTGGAAACCCATTCCAATTCCGAAGCGTCCCGTCGAATCCACCTGATTGTACTGATTTTGATTCTGCGATTTCTTGGATGGCCTGCGAAACGCAGCGGTTTTATTATCGTTATTATGACAAATGTGATTAAATGTTCAATCTATATTATAATTGTGCGCGCTACACGTTGTGTGTAAATATGACTAAGGTAAATTAATTATTAGGTCACTGAATTATTAATGCACTATCACCGAATTATTAATGCAATTATTATTATAAAGACATGACGTGCATGCGGGTATTACATACCTTGCACGAGGCCCGCCATTCGCTGCTCTAATGTGCTTTTTGCCCGCGTAGTGTTGCGTGGCGTCTGTTTGCGATGTGAACCACGTTTTGCATATCTAGCAATGCAGATCGTATGCGAGGTACATATTAATTTATGTATGTAATACATAATTGTAGGCAAAACACATTTTGGAGGCCTCTTACATCACAGTAGTTTTGCCAGTCGTTATTGGTCGTACTGCTCACTTGGCCATCTTCCGTTTTCTGTTTTTTAACGCTCTGATTGAGAAACATCGATACTTTTTCTGATGTGGCTTGCCGTCATAGTGCAATTTCGCTTGCAACGTGGAGTTCATCTGCAAAGTACGATTCGCTTCGTCGATATACGATGATCATAACTGTTCGACGTAAGAGATCTATACATCGCAGAGACTTAGTTTTTGGGATTTAAACTAGATTTAAACGGGGAGAGAAGATTCTTTATGATTAGCCGAGCCTTACGACTGCATTGCACAGATCACATTTCAGCGGTTTCATCAGCGTCGACAGTTCCCTCTGCGCACTCGCCACTTTCTCTGAAAGAAATCAATGCAAAGAGTTAATATTCGCTTCAAACATTTATAAAATAACATACATAATGTTTTAATTATTTGCTTCATTTTAAGATCATATATGCAGACAGATTTAAAGTAAGACGTACATCTTCGCTACTCTCTTTAATTACCTGCATCCTGTGCGGGATCGATAAACTCGTTCTTGCGTTTGTAAAAATTCTTGGTCTTGTTTTTCCCAGCGGCTGATGCCGCCGCGGAGAAACTGCCGTTGCAGTCACCGCACCCTTGTAGGTCGTATCGTACCACTGGACGTAAATGTCCGAGGTATCGCTGTCGGTGGGTATCCACCACGGGGTTGACGGTTGTGCGGAAGTCTGCGGATGCATCATATACGAATTCGGTGGCACCGGGTGTACGTTCGGGAATGCACCAAGGGTTGCGTCCCCAGCAGTCGCGACGGTCATCGCGTTCTCGCTCGTCGTTCGTTGTTGTTGCGTCGTTGTCGATTGTCCATTGTTGCTGTTCGAGGGTTTGTTCGAACAAGAAGAAGGCGGCGGCGGGGGAGGTGGCGGGGGGGCGGCGGCGGTGGTGGTGGCAGGAAACATTCGAACCCTATTGAGACAAATTTCAGAATTTCAATAATGAAAGGTGTTCCTTTCGAAAGAATATCATCTGTGCTCAAGTCTCAAGGAGTGAGAAAATGGATTGAACCCGGAAGCAGTAATCTGACCACATACATTTTTCTCGCTTTATAAAGAAAAAGGTAAAAATCCAGCCATTCCTCAAAAACGTCAAAAATTTTTAAATCATATCCCGCTGTTTTACTGCGGTACATTTTAAAGGTTTTGTCACAAAAATGTTTCCAAGTTCTCATGATAAAATAATTTAGCGAAAATCATTTGTGACCCACGTTTTGTGTTATTTGTTCGCATTTACAAATTTATTATCTATCCTTTAACAGTAAAATGAAAGGTAACAAAGTAAGAAAAGGAATCCTTTATATTATATTAAATGTGTCGGACAATGAGTTTATTGTGCATCGGTAGAGATTCATCAAAATTTCGCAGGATTTATGATAGCGTTAATTTTTGCGGAATGCGCGAATCGTTTTCGGCTTTGTGAAAAATATAGGTGTAAAAACAATGTTGTCGCGTGACTATTAAGACGAGATGTTTATCGCGTACTTTAATAAAAAATTGCATTTAAATTGTCCGCAATACATAGATATAACGCTAATTCGCGCAATCGGCTGACAATGAATATAAAAGCAACGCGATATTATATTTTATATAAGTTTTTTCACACCTGATAATACGGAGCTCGAGCATCCAAGACAATAATACATTATTTAACTTATCACATTCCAACGTCACAGTGATGACATAATTTATTTCAATACCTACTTTACAACTATGAATATCATTTGCAAATCATTATACGAAACAGTTATATTTTACCTCTATGCAAATATAAATTGCTTGATTACAGGCAAAAAAGATTTCAATAGCATTTTATAATTTTGAAACATTTTAAGCAAATTAATTTGTATCATCATTTATATTTAGAATTGATATTTTACAATTATATGAAGCACAACACATTTTTTTGCTGAATTGTTTAAACATTTATATTTAATTTTAAATATATGTATACATATATTTCGTAAGTTATTTAAATATTATCATGTATTTATATTCATAAGCTTGATAACAGTCATGCACATAAAATTTTTACTGTGGACATATATATTTACATTTGGATATATCTAATTTTTAAACATGCCCTTGATTAACCAATGTACTTCTCTTTCTATAAATCGATATATAACGATATTGTGACTTTAATATTACCTTGACCGAAACCACGCGGAAATGAGATTAGAGGTCAGATCTACATGCTATATTATATATACATATATGTATATACGTGTATAATGTTAAGCGTTCGCATATCGCGTGATCTATGCGTGCACTCCTCCGGAGTATGATATTCGCAATTTACTCGTCAATGCATACACACTAATCATCTCGTCTGATGGATCATGATGGAAGTTTCATAATACTACTCCGACTAATCCCGGATTAAATCCGCATCGCTGATTGATCTCTCTCGCGCATCTGGTGGACCGACAAATTATTCCGCGATTCTCGACAACGCGCCTCGTCACGGTCGCGAGTACTATGTTTTATTTTGTTTCTTTGCTCTCAATGTCAGAGCTTAGAACCCTGTTTCGTGCTGCTGTCGCACACAAGCGCACGCTTTTGCGAGGTGACGAATCTGGGGAGAGGAGGGATTCCGATTCCCGAATTGACGAATGACTCACCCGGCACTTCTGGATTCTCGATAATCTTGACGCTGGACATCTCCCGCGGAGAAAATTGTATTCGAGCGACAATTATCTCTGTCGGCCGAAGCTTAATGACAGGCAGCGGCTCCTCGCTCGAGCGCTAACGCCTCCTCGCGAATTTGCCGTCTTCGTCGACTCGCACTTGACGTTTCGCCTCGCTGTTCCGCAACGACGCGTCACGTCGTACCGCGACTCGCACCTCGGCATCGACTGTCACCTTATCGAAGCGAAAAGTTTGGTTGAGGTTAATTCAGCCGCGGCTCGACACACGAGCCGACGACATTACACGGCGCGCGTGATATTGACCCGCGGCGTAAGATGGCTGCACACGCTGCGCTCGTGGACGACGTTTACGGTGACGTTCGTGCACACCGCACCGAATTGTCACGTGCGACGATAGGAAGGATTCGATCACGCTCGTGCGATCGCTGATGGAGAGTTCGCGACGACGATGGAAGACAAGGACGAGCTGCTTCGCTGCCTCGAGGAGAAAATCGCTAGCGCTCGCAGTATGATCGAGCGGCTGAAGCTCATGGATAAGATCGATGGGACTGACAAATTGATACGAAAGATCCAACAGGAGATGAAATTTTTGGAAAAAGTAAGACCCATACATTTTTAATCAAACTGTCAAAATTGAGTAGCAGCTGATTAGATGGTACGTTTGCATTGCAATAACAGATAGTGAAATTATGCAATAATTAAATCTATTGAGATCTGTAGATATAACCAAAAATCTGAAGCTATGCTGGTAGATCATTAATTATGATAGAATAAATTAGCACAAATTTCATTAGCAGATAAATGTTTTTTTTTTTTTTTTTTAACAGGTGCACTGCTCTGGAAATTTGAAGAAAAAACATTTACAGAGCACAAATCTGATTCATCTTAATGCTATAGTGACTAGATTGTCCTGCGCAAAGGATCTTGTCAGCGTTATGAAACCTTTTAAACATCAGAAATCACGTCTGGAAGTTGATATAGTATGCAACAATGGTGCTTCGTGGGTGAAGGTTATAGCCAGGAATGCTAGAGCACTAACTTTGATATCTCTTGGTAATGGAGAATATGGACAGAAATCTGCTTTGGATCAAGCTAATTCATATCTTATGTGCAGCAAATGTCATCTATATCACTATAAGCCGCCAGATGTAATATTTCACTTTGCTTATGGAGTAGAAATTCCTCTAGCCTTACGTTTGGAGCAAATGGGCATTATAGTTGAAGGAGATAGAATAGATATAGATCATGAGAATTTAAACAGTCAGTATAAATATCTAAAAGAATTAAGTATTATATGTATTTATAATAGCATAAAAATAATTTGATTAACATGTATTTATTATTGTATATTTATCTTTTGGAGGTAGAACACGATGACCTGGATTTGCTGAAAGAATCTACAGATGATTCTGAACAGGACTTGGATTTGGATTCGTTAAATACATCTGTACTTTCAACAGAGATTAAACTCCTGAATCTGGATGTATCAACGCTATTGGCTTATGTTACAAATATGTCTAATGGACATAATAATTATATTTATCGTGAGCCATTGCTTACGCAGCAGAGAGAGATGGAAAGAAAATGTCCCATAAAACCAATTCTGGAAAATTTGTTTCATGAGAAAGAACTTATAGTTTGCCAGACAGCATATGACAATTTATGAATATTATTGACGTCATTGGTGGTCCAAAAGAGACGCTGCGTGCTCACGAATTGTTAAAAAAAGTTCGAATTGTTGATGATATAACTACTGGTCGAGTAATGGAACTGCGTTTAGGCGGTAAAATTAAAGATCGGTCACGAATAGTTTTTGCAACTGGCGAAAATATGAAAAGTATCACTGTTTCTGCTAATGAAGGATTTGTAAGAGCAGCACGCATGCAGGTAAGCATGTGCATTATACAGAATTACTCTATTTATTCTTAAGATAATATACAGATATTTTATTTTTCCAGGGAATTGAGTGTACAGTTTTTTTACATGAGCCAAGATCTCTATCAGAAATGAAAGAAGGTAACGCAACGAAAATAGAATCATTTTGATATTACTTATTATTTAGGCAATTACAAACAAGATACATACTGACAGGGGGAAGTGAGAATACAGTAATTAACTGGAAGCAGAGGTCCCTTATATAAGATAGAGTAGGAACAAAGCGTAGGTGTGTGTGTGGAGTAAGTAGGGAATTGTATAGCTAGGGCAGAATTGCGAAAAAGCGATGCGAGATACGGCGACAATTGGAAGTGCGACAAATGTAATGTAGCTATGCGAAGTTATTGTATGGTGGTTAGATTTTAAGATTTTACAAATGTTTTTGTATTTTTTGTAATTTTAATCATTTTTTTTCTTTATTTTTTCAATTTATTAATTTTCTATTGTTCAAGTTTTTTCTTTTTGTTTAGTTTTGTAATGGATATTGTAGCGACGATTGAAATATAGAGAATTGTAAGTTTTGTATAATATTGAAGCCCTTAGGGAAGCAATAAAAATTTCTTATCTATATACCGATATCAAATATACTTTTATTTTTTTTGCTAATTTATTATATTACTTTATACTACACTGAAAAACATTTGAAATTATCTCTTTAAAAAGTTACTATATTTCATTGTCATTAATTACCTGAATATTGAATTTGTTAAATTCCGTTTCTAAATTTTCTTCAAATTCTGTAAAATATGAGAAATATGAAATAGTAAAATATGTAAAATATAAAATAATTATATGAAATAATACAAAATTAATTTGTTTAAGAATACTCAATACCATTAATAAATTTGTTGAAATGAGGATTTCTTTCTTTGGCTATCTGTATATATTCTTTACTCTTCTCCACGTTTCCAAGATTCATATAACACTTGACGCTATTTAAAAGAGCTTTTAAATTTGAATTATTCAATTTTAATACCCATTCACAATCGTGTAAGGCTTTTTCGAATAATCCGAGATGCATGTACGATAATGCACGGTTATTCCATAATACAGACGAATCTTTACGTTGTTCTAATGCTTTACTAAAATAAGTCACGGCTTTCTCGTAATCTCCTTCTTTGAATGCACCATTTGCAATTCTTTTGAACGTTTCTGCTCGTTCATTTCTAATTTTACGATCTTCGTATCGTTTTTTAGCATCATCTTCCATGTTCTTCATGAACATCTCTTTATAAATGTATTTATAATTCATTGTGTTAAATGGCAATATTGTAATCTCCAAACAAATAACTTACCTCGCGACATCTCATTTGGATCATCGCAGGAATTACTCTCTGAAGCATATTTATTAATTATTGATCTATTAGTTGTAATTTTAACTTCTCCATCTTCATAAATTTCCTTTTGAACTTTTCTTTCTAACATCTCATCGGCTAACTTTTGTCCATATTCTTGCTCCTTTGGATCAGAAGATGCTAACTTCTTGACAACTTTTTCTTGAATAAAGAATGTTATTAAAAAACATAAATTTGTGATACGCAGTCACATAAATACCTACCAACTTCAGTAACACGATGCATGAAATTTTGAAATTCTTCCTCCGTTACATTTTTATCAGGGTTAAATTTATTAACAATGTGACTTGCTTGCTCTTTTTTATCACAACTTATTTTATTCTTCACATCCATTTTTAAATCTAAAACTGTAGAAATAATTGGAAAAATCGGCAGACACACTACAGAGAAAGAAATATCAAGTAATTTGTTTCCATAGAAACATAACAATGTTGGTATAGATAGAGTATAGACTATAGTTTTCAGTGCTCACGGTCTTAAAACCATGGCAGTGCTGTAGATGTATTATATGCATTTATAAGTAACTAATATATTAATATCAATTAATATCAATACCTATATATATTATATATATCAATCAAATCATTACCTAAAAATATTTACAGAATATTATTTGAACAGGATGTTAAATTGTAAAATAAGTCTCGCTTTACATAGTTTTATAATGAAAGCAATACGATTGAATATTTAACAAAACACTGAAGATGACACCAGTTAGGTAATTGTTTCAGACTTTTAACAGTGTCATGAATGTTTTAATATTTATATACTTTAGTATATTGCATCAAAAATATGATAAAATGAGACTTGTGCATAATTCGTTTTCAGTTTATGAAATTTTACATTAACTGTTTGGACCTTTTCTAGCAGAAAATTCTGTGTGTGAACGATTTCTGTTTGATGTACGGAGCACCATCTGTTGATAGAACTGTTGCGTGGGTGTTTTACTGCTTTCTGAATTCTCATTGTCATTATCGTCAACCTCAAGAGGATCCATGTCAACATCATCTTCCACATCCGAAGATATATCAATTTCATCCTTTATGTAAATTGTGTTTATATTATGATCTTCATTGGAATTCTTCTTAACTTTCCTCCTGTCTAATGGCTCATTTTGTTTATTGTCCAGTACAGGGGCAGAAGAATTTCCTGTTGTAATCTCTATTTCGTCCATGATGCAACGAATTTTTTTTAACGGTAGCTTATCCGTTGATATCGTAGATAATACTCGTGGCCAACTGATTACAGGATCCGAGGGTTCTTTTCTCTTCTGTAGTGTAGGTATATTTGGCAATCCTTTGCTCGTACTCGGCATGTCGTTAATGTCTACAATACTGATACCGGAATTGCTGTTCTCCAATCGTTGACATAGCTCGTTTATATTGATCTCTTCCTTCTTCTTCGTCGTCTCGAGAGGAATTTTAATCGGTGGCTTGTGAGGATTTATCTTCAGCGGAATAAGCTTTGGCTGCACGGCTGGTACTTTGCTCTGCGCTTTTGCATTTGTTTCGTGTTCAGGGGTGGTATTTTTGCTGGACAGGCTCCTGGCTTCTTCTACCTTTAATCGTGATACCGTGGCGGTCTTTTTCGATACGTCGCAGGGCTCCTTCGCAGTGTTGTTCGCTCCTTCTCCGGGCAGTACCGTCAACGGAATATGTCGCAATCCGGTGACCTCCAGGGTTTCGGCGAGCTTCAGCAGCCTCCTAACCTCGCTCTGAACTACCTGTATCTCGCCGCAGTACATGAAGTTAACGAGGGTCTTGAGATCGTCGGCCTCGACGTCGTGCAGGACGATCATCGGATGCGGATGTTCATTGGCCATGATCAAACGGCGGAAGAACGAGCTGGAATTGGCAAGTACCATCTTGTGACATTTCAGGATTGTATTGTCTTTGCACACCAGCGATAGATCGACGAACTGTTGTTTCTCGTAACATGTGTCGAGGGAGACCACCATGTGTGACGGAAAGCTCTGCCACTTGAAACTCAACACGGAATCCTCTTTCATAGTGCCGGTTTTAAGTCAGTTTACGTCAGTTTTACGACCAAGCGACACGAGACGCTCAATTTGCGGCGTTTCTGACAACACCATTCGCCATGACACATACGACACACGTGCCGCTGTTATCGTACTATCTATAAACTGTCCTCTGGCGAGCGAGATGCGTACATATGTATATATTTTAAATATCTTTGTAAATCGTCAAACGCATTCTTTTTAAGTGAACTGCGCGATCTGTCAAAAGTAAAAAAAAATCTTTTTTCATCGGGATTAAAATGTGTGTTGCTTTTAGAATTCACGTGAGATTATAAATACATTATATATTTTCAAAAATTATTTAGCACTGCGTCTCTTCGATATTGAAAAGTATACAATATGTCGGATTAGAAAATTAGAAAAAATGAAGACATTTTATGCAGCGAAAATCCAAGTAGAATATTTTTAATTTCAAAATTCCCGCGCTACGCTACTGCGAGAGGTGACGCGTGTTCGATATCTCGAAGCGCTGTAGTCGCGAGTCGCGAGGCCTGCGGAACCAACAGTCGACCGGCGACGGCGGCGACTCCTCGGTCCAATTGGCTCCGATAATTGCAAATGGTCGTTTAATAACAGATGATTGAACGCGTACCGCGGCGCGCGGCGTAGCATTTATCTGTCAAAAGCGGTGGCGGCCGGCCCGACGAAACGGTGATGCGCCGCCGGCTGACACGCGTCCATTGAACGTTGAACCGGCGAGGTGCTGGACTCGGGAACGCGTTTTCATTTCTGACGACAACACAACGACGACACACGACGACGACGACGACGACGACGACGACGCGGCGCCAAGTGCGAGAGAGTGACAGAGAGAGCGTGACGCGAGTGAGCATAGCGGGCGACCTTTGAATAATCGCGTCCGTTTGTTATTATGTGATCGGTGAGTCGCGAGACAACGACGGAAAACGGGGAAGAAAGTCGAGAGAAAATGCGGACCAACGTTTTCTGCTATCTCATCGTGGCGATTCTCGCTGTTCTGTCGACGCTCGGCCGTTCAGGTAACACGCATATATACACGTATACGTAGCATTCATTTTCACTGTAGTATATTCTCGCGTTGAAATATAAGAGAGAGAAACTCAGTGCCTCTCTCTGTTTGTCTGGCTGATGAATTAAAGCGCGAGCGGTCATGAAATTGGTTCGTCCGAGCAATCCACAGCAGTTACCCCAGCTTAGTCATAATAATCCTCTTCCGCTCTTTCTTTCTCTCTATTTTTCTCTCTCTTCTCTCTTCCCATGTCCCTTTTATTCCTTCTGTTTTTGCCGTTCATCTTGATCTTTCTCGAATTCTCCAATTCGAGAAATGAAAGTGAGAGGGAGAGAGAGGGAAAGAAAGAGAGAAAGAGAATCCTCTGTGCTGCACATGGAATTGAGATCAACACGTGACGCATTTCCGGTTTACAATTTCACATAGTGTCGAAAATGCATTTTTGGTGTGAAAAATTTCCACTGAAACACATACTTTCCTACTGCAATGAAGTTATTTCGAGTTATTTTACGTATATATGCACTGAAAAAAATTGTTAACTTGACTAAACTTTTTGACTAAATATCATTTTGTTAATCAAACATATATAAAATTATTTAAATTAAATATAACATATTAAATCTAAAAAATGTATATTTGACTTAAACACTAATATATGTTTAATTAACAAAATAATATTTAGGTAAAAGATTTAGTCAAGTTAACAATTTTTTTTCAGTGTATATGTATATATGTATAGTTTTTGCAAAGTGTATTTGTAATGTCTTTCGGAAAATTGCAGGAAATACGTAGAGCGATAATTGAGCGATATCACGTGTTACAATAATTATATGTATGATATGATAAACGCGCAAATAATTGGCCAAGGTTGTTTTCAACAAAGTCAAACTAAAAATAGTTATACTTCGCAAAAATTAGATATCGATGGAAATTTCGCTTGCATGGCCGTATTGACGTAATTTTGCGTTGAATTTGATGATAAAATAGTGAATATATGTATATGTGTAACGTATACAAATAGAGAAATCTGCATATGATATATTATATTTTATATCGTCTTTTCAATCAAATGCCAATTAAATATGTCTTTTAATTTTTTATACTCTTTTGCATCGTGTTTACTGAGAACTGACTTTTATGCGCACCTAATTAAAAGTTTCTTGCGTTTTTACAATTCATTCGACGCATTACGAAAGCTTAATTTGAAACGCTTCGTTGCAATAGTTCCGTATTTTCCCGGATAATTACGACGTCGAAACGTACACAAGTGCAAATATATTTACAATGATATATTTTCTCTTTAAGGAGATGGATTGAGTTTTTTTTATCTTCTGTTGCGTTGTCGATCCTTACGATTTATATCGATTCGATACACCTTTTTTTGCATGACATAATCGTTTGTAGCTCCGGGGTAGAAATCGACATCGCGATGCATAAGTTTATTATGAGATATCGAATTATGCTTTTTTCTTCTACTTATATTTACGAATTAAATATTTTTATTTTATCGAATATACATGAGAGTGCATATTATATTGCATTCATTTCTTTTTACATTTTGTCAATTTATATAACATAAATGAATAAATCATAAATAAATTTGAATTTTATTTCCATTTTATATAGCAAAGAAAATATTTCTTATAAAGATAAGATTACATTTGGAGCTACACTCAATGTATATTTATTTCTGACTATCAATATTATGATATATCGAAAAAAGTTTGTTTTTTTATTTTGCTTCGAAAATTATGATTTTTTTAATATTTAAAATTTTTCCCAAGATATAATATAACATCAATTGTTTACATCGAGCACTTAATACGCGTATCAAATAGTACATTTGAGCTGATCAGTCAATAACTGAACCAATTTACAAGTTATTTACTATTTAATATACGTATCAAGTGCTCGATGTAAACTATAGGCAAATCACGTGAATCTATCGCAATCGATTTTGCAGTATTGATGTCCTATTTTATTCGCTTTTATTAATATCATATATTTGTGTCGATTCGCTCATCGAAAGCACCGCTCTTGAACGCGTTTAAAAATTTCTTGTATTAATTTAAATAACCAGAAGATTATATAAGTGTGCGCGCAAAAAATTCATCGAAAAGAAAACTGACAGAACAGTATTCGCAAACATATTTCGAAGTATATTTTAAGATACCGTCAGTAGGCGAAGAAATGCACGGCTTCTCCCGCCCACCTTGCACTCTTATATGTTTGTTTATTTAAATTGCGCTTATACCGCACGTGACTCTACTTATGTATTTGTATGCAGTAATGAAAACATATACAAAGTATTAATAACGCGAAACTACGTTACTATATAGGTTAAAAATAAATTTACTTGGGCAGTATTGGTCTTGATGCAGAGCGTCTTTCACATTTTCTCTTGCATCTCCTTACTCGTTAATTTCTTTAAAAAATATGCATATAAAATAAATAATATTTGTAATAAAATATGCTCTCTGATAAATTTCCAAAGACAGGATTTTGCTGTTTTACGCGAGTATACATATAACTCATGTGCAATAAACGAGATAAATGTACAACGGTATATTGTATTATGCATGCATGCATGAAATGCTTCGGCGAATTCGCGTTTACGTGGCGAAATTCGGTCCGACGAAATTGGATAGTTGATGTGGAACTGAGAGAAAACACGCGAAGAATATTTCTTTTCAAGTAAGAATTTGAAAGTCTTATGATATCATTGCCATAACGTGAATTTTTATTTTCTGCGTGCCGAGACTTTGCTCTTTATTTTTTATTATTGTTTACTGTATCGGGCGATTGATTATTTATCTAGATCCTTTGTTACTGTTTTATTCAATATCAATGATGATTGATTATATATCTAGAAATGTCATGATAACAGTAAATTGATATAACTTTATATCTTGCACATCGGAAATACGTTGACTTATATTGATTTGATCGTTATCAGTATACATTGTTCCATATATGATAGCTGGCATTTACATTGCATCAAAATATACCGCTTAAATTAAATGTCAGTCACCATTTTTATTGTTAATTTAATAATGTTATTTTTACATATTAGTATTTGCAACTTTTTATTTTTGTAAACTTTGATTCTAATACGTCAAGATTTTATAATAAACGTCGTATTTTTCACTCGAATAATCTAGAGTCGTTTCGATTTCAAGCGATTGTTTATTTGAGATGATTACGCTTATTCTTGTTTCAATATAATTTTAAATCTGATTTTATTGAGGAAAGAATAGTATAATCTCTCTTAATTCACGATAAGAATAGTGTCTCTTTGAATTCTCCGATCCTGCGGTACTTAACGAAGGCCAGCTTCGTTAAGTAGTTCGCCAGCTGTGATCTTCCTGAGATGAACAGGCTCATTGTGTTCATCCAAACGCTCCGATTTTACGACTTTATCGCGGAAAAACGTTCTCTCCCTCGTATTGTGTGATGACGCGATTCTACGAGAATGCAATAATCGAAACCGAATACGATACTTTGAATTTTCGAAATTGTCGAAACTTGACACCGACGATGCATCTGACTTATGCAATTATATCTAATGCATTTTGCGATTGATATACAATTTGGCAGTTTTGTAAAATCGTATTTACAATCATAAATACAATATTAATTTTATTCGCGATTATGGTAAGACTGACATAATAATAAATTTTTTTTAATGTAATATTTTTTAGAGCGGATGCATTTATAGGCGGATGGAGTAGTAACAAGATGTTCATTTCCGCATATTTCTACTACATTGATATTGCAACGAGACAAATCACGTCGGATGATATTATAGAATTAATGCGACACTAGTCACTTAAATCAAAAACAGGTCCCATAATACACTTGATCCTCAGCCTCAGTTAACCCCCGTGCATACTGTTGATAAAACGAATTCGTCTCAATTAACTGATTCAGCCAATCATGCGTCACGCAGGCTCGATAGAGTTACGAAAATGTCATTCATTCTCGTGCCCCTTTGTGTCTTCTGTTCTGGATGAGATAACGAAACAGTTGGTCGACGATAACGAAAGAGATAAGGAACGTGGCACGTTCGATTAAGTATCGCATGATGTGGGCAATGCATCGATATATTGCATTCGATGTATATGTTGTATCATGCATTAGTATAACTGCACTGTTTCATCTTCTTGCGAGTATATTCTGACAATCTGGAACAAAGTTTTCGAATAACGCACATATACGAAATTTATATTTATTAAATGCAGGCTATTTTTTATGATAATTATTATATTAATTGAAACAATGTATTTATAACATGGGTTTGGAATGATTAATCTTTTACAAGAATGTCTTAAGCATGAGCTGCAATAATCAGAGTATGATTCACAAATCTCTTCACTTCTCTCTTCTTGTATGTGTTTTTATTGCTTTTATGTGAATAACAATATCGGATTAAAGATCAAATTATCTTATAAAATTGCAACTACAATTTTTTGAAATTGTCTTGTGTTTACAGTTATCTGAATATATTTGTATCGATTTTGATGATTATAAATTAATATAGCAACATTATTCTATAGCGTTGAGTAAACTAAATGTACTTTTTTTATTCTGTAGCAAATAATTACAAGTATTTTTAATTTAATATATTAATGTATTTAAAGTTTTGTTGTTTTTGAATTGGATTATAAATAACTTGAACGTGACGATTCGTATTATTGATTATCATTTTACTTTGTTGATCTCACAGCATGCTTATTTCCTGAGCTGTTTTGGAACGTGCCGTCGATATATCTGTGTTTTCCCATTTATCATTTTGATATAAATGTTATGTCTAATCAAGAATATTATTGCATTACTCATATTCATTATAAGTATAAGTATATTTTGAGATTCTGTCATTTTTTCATAAATCAAATTAATATTAAATATCATGAAGAAGTGTTCTGCTTTTTATTAATTCGTTTGAAATACACAACTGCATGAATAAAAGGTCCAAAACTAAGAGTTTGCATGCAAGGAATGCTGGCGCCGCGCGTGGATCGATCAACCCGTTTTCAAGGATTCATTCATCTTTTATGTATTTATGGCGATTTTTTTCAGAGAGCGACGATGGAACGCATTTGAAGGAGTGCGATATATCGGCGCTTGATAGCGAGCAGTGCGGTAAGAACCAGAGATGTGTAAGCATCAACAACGAGAAGTCGTGGTGCGAGTGCCAGCGAGATTTTCATTTAGTTAATGGCGAATGTATTAGAATTACATCCGCGGCGGCGAGTATCGACGCTACCACCCTTAAGCCAGATCTTAATTCCGAGTCAGGAGGAGGTACGTGCACGCTGTGAAAACTTTGCAGCAAATTAATACGCTGTTGATAGCTTTGCCTTAAAAATGTAAACTTTGTTGAAAGATTTAATGAAGTCTCTTATTGCTAATATTGGGGCATTGTACAGTTTTGACCAAATTTATTATTTTTTTTGAGAATATACTTTGGAAGACAGATAACTAGTAGTTGATTCGATCCTGGGTATCTTAGCTCACGATTAGATAATTTTGTTTAGCTTTGTTATTATTCATTCACACTGATATGATAAGGAAGATGGAAGTGAAGTCGATGCATACGTAGATTCGAGCGTCGAAAATAATAACCAGCGATAAGAACAATAAGAATAATCGCTGGCGACTAAATTCCTAATCAATTTTATTCAGGTAGCTCCGTAGCCGCCGGTCTACTAATACCAACCTTCCTCGTAGTAGTCGGTGTACTACTGTATTTCGGCGCGAGACGATACAAATGGCTGCAACGATTTCGGCAGTACCGTCACAATCGTTACGGCAATGTCCTAGTCACGAGAGACGACGACGACGATGACGATCCGCCGATAGCATAAATAATAAAAGAGAAAGAGAAACAAATTTTATAATGACGCGAACTGATGCACACACCGCGTGTACAAAAGACGCACTTGACCAAAAGTTGAAACGCGAGGTTAAACAAGTGCAATGTACGCTTTTCTTGATAGTACATACGTAGTTACGGGTGATGAGTTCTAGTAGAGTTTGATATATATATTTGATCGGCGACACTTGTGTGTTTTACCTTTAGGAAAATATTACTATGTAATTTCATGCAAGTATCAGCAGAGATGGTTCAACTACGAAATGTATGAGAGATGAGAAGCGAGATGAATTACGAGGCCAAATGCAAAGACGCACTCGCGCGAGTAATTACGCTTTTATAGACAGAAATAGATTATTATATTTGTGGATTGATATAAAATATATGAATGATATAATTCATATAATTCATACAATTAATTATATAAAAAAAGATACTAATATAACAATATATTTACAATATTCTAAGATAAAGAATATTTTTTGACGAAACTTTGATGTTTATTTCATTCGTCGGAGAGATACGTATGTATATAAAAGCGTTTCTGCTCGCACTAGTTGTCGAATTTTTATATGTGATGGTTGTAAAGGATATGGCATAATGGACTGCGTTTATGATAATTTTAAGGATTTGCTAAGAGCATAATTTTTTATATTGATATTAATAAGCTGGTCAGTAAACTTTACGTAATATTATATTAATATAGGTATATAATAATGCAGTGATTATTTCTTTTATCACCATTCTTATTATGCAAAATTAGGGAAAATTCTGCATATTAAATATTGCATTATTATTACCCATATTCTATAGAATTATTGTCTATTGATAATTGTATCTATTTTTCTTTACAGTAATCTTTGAACGAAGTAAAATTGGTGAATTTCTCTTTCAAAAATTCTATTATAATTTTCTTAAATAATTAAATTTAATTTTTTAGCTTTAAAGTGGTTTTAATACGATAAGTAGATCGATCAAGTTTTGTATACATCTTTTGCGATTTCCAGGAATCATCGTTTTTTTCGATTAATTTGCATTAAGTTACATGCATTAATCATATTTAAATTAATTTTTTGTTTTGAATGTCTTGTTTCTTTGTAATTATTTCTCTCATTTACGGAATAAACCAAATTATTTTGAATCTAAATTTACGAATCTAAATTAGTACTTACTTTTTGCTATATATAGATAATATAATATTGTGAAATATTTGATTAAATTATAATAAACGTGTGAATTTGAGAGAGTTACCTTCTAAACTGCAAGAAATTTGGAAGCGATTGCGTTTATACCAAAAGAACAACGCTCTTTTTAACTTCTTCGATGTAATAAAGTTTGTAAATACTCCTCTTGCTATTCGCGAATGCGTACTCTTGCCAATTACTACTTCCTGTAATTTAATCTAATCGTGATATATAGGAAGATATATTATCTGTATATCGTTTATGAGGTACGAGCATCCCTCGGAACCTCGCGAAATATTAATACACAAAGTAAACTTTCGAGAGTTATATATATATATATTGTATACGCATCCTATTCTTGTACTCTATCTCATTTTTGTACAGAATTTATGCACTAGAACCTAAATCATAGTAATTATTCGGTGTATAGCGAGTCTGATCGTCGTCGATCAGATCATCTCGATCGAGATTTGATATTTTTATAGTTCGCGAGTACAAATCTAAGAATGGCGAGTAGTACTGGCGAATTACTATTGCATTAATTTTAGTACGGCGAGAACTAATTTTTATCATATGATCCAAAGTATGGCTAATACTGTCTTATTTGTTATCAGGTCAATGCATTTCAATGATTTGACTGACAATGAGTACCGTAACTATTAATATATACCTATATTGCAGCCACGTTTATACAAAAAGTCATAGTAGATATGTGTTGAATATTCTGGTTCCTCACCAGACGTGTGTGTGTTCAGATGTTTTCTTTTTGTCGGAAAACTAGATATTTACAACGATTACAATTTGTGTACGCGTGGCTCCGTTAAGTTTTAAATCATGATTCTGTGATGTAATTTATGTTATTATTGACTGAATTAATATCGTTGATCGCGAACCACTGCATTTTCTTTGGCATAATAAACAATTACTCTTGAAGTATTTTTTGTGTAAATAAATATTACATACTGTTGCTGATACCAATGTTCGATATATTTCTATTTTTGCTCTATATATATTTCTCGCACATTAATAGGCAGCACTATTTAAGGCTATTCGAAAAAAAAAGATTGTTGCTTGAAACTTTATGAAATAATTTGGTTGTATCTACGGCTGCAGGATTTTTTTCGACTCGGTCTCATAATGTTTATGAATGTTTCTTGTGCTATCAGATATTCTGTTGTATAATTTATGTCATTTGTACTATAATAATAAAGATCTTTAAACATTTTCTGCAACTGAATAATTTCAAATATTATTTTTTATATTCACACATATTATGATTGGTGTCAAGGTCCATGAAGAGGGGCAGTGTAACACAATGAATAACACAATGGTACGTATATTTCCTCACTCTTTTATATCATACGTAAATATCGACATAGCTTTAAGACAAGATACACGCTCAGGAAGACTTATCCGCTAGTAATACAATATCTATCAAGAATTGACACACGATAAAATTTAATGTATACAGTTTTTTATAAAAAATCGCATATTTATCGCATTTTTAGTTGCAGTATAACTTGAAATATAATGAATGTACATATAGGATAGACAATTATTTACAAGTTTATTCGAAATTAAGAAGAATAAAATTGGGATAAATGTTTTTAGCATCTCTAACATTCCAATGAAGATTTCGATTTCGATTAAATATATCATGAGTAACCTGTATTAATATCGCAAATTAATTCATTATTAAATTGTATCACGTTTTAAATGTATTTTCTGTATCACGTTACTAATCCAGAGGAAATATCGAGCTTATACTATATGACATTTTTCTGCAGCATTTACATCATTAGATCATTACAACTGGATCTTAATCATACAATATAGAATTTCTCCACAGCGAAACATTTCTCAGAACAAATTATCTATGATCAATGTTATCATTGAATATTAATCCTGTTTTCATTTTTTATTGCAATGTGCGTGAATAATAATGAGCATCGATAAGTATCAGGATGATTAATATCTCATTGTTTTCATTTGAATTATGTTTTCCTTTCTAAATAGCGTGGCATTTCGCAATTTACATAATAATCTGTCCTCTCATTTCTATTGTTTTTTAATCTTTAATGAATAATTTATCATTTTATTAAAACCTCGTGAACTATCAATATAGTTAATTGAAAATTGTTTATTATTACAACAGATTATTTCCTACTCTCAGAGCGGCGCGACGCGTCGAGACGAGTATGTCGCGCGTTCTTTGGAACGAAAGACACTGATCATCTTTGATTACAGCAAGGCTAAGTGCCGAACGCGCGATATCTGTCCGCGGAAAGCTAGTTTCATAAAAGAAACAAGCGAGTGCCGTTTCTTCCACGAAAGTGTCTTTCCTAGAAAGTTTCCGATAAATCGGTGGCAGTATATAAATTAGTCGCTTTAACGCTCGTGAAGCAAGATAAAATTTTAAATCTCTCCCTCAACGATATACCATACGATGTTATTATATATTCCATCAGTATACGGTATAGTCTTGCCATTGTCTCTGCTGCCTGTATTGTGCCCCGCTGATCTGTATAGCCTCCGGTGTTCTGTAATACATCGTTCGAGCTCGATCGTTATTGTTAAGGCTCGTTGCCAAGAATGGAGGACTCGGAACGAACGATTTCTGTTGATGCGAATGCTGCTGCTGTTGCTGCTGTTGCTGCTGATGCTGATGATTAATCGGTCTGGAGAGTTTGTAGTTGTTTTCGGAAGGTTGTAGCACGGTGTCTCTACCCAGATGTTGCCTGTGAATAGGTAGAACGAATCCGCTGGGCAAATTAGCTTCTTGAACTAAGGTCGGCGTCAGAGCGTCGTTTAGAGTGACGTCGTATTCGCTCTCGGGAATATCCTGAAGTCGATGCGTTACTTCATTGATTCTCTGTTTGGCTCTGTAGCTGTTGCCAGGTCCCGAAGGTAGGATGTCCTCGTTCTTATACGTCGAGCTGTAGGCGTTCGGCGTAGTTTCGACGCCGGTTCTAACTTTGCTACGGATCGGAGAACCTGTTTGCACGTTGCCGACATTCGCGTACTTGTCGCTCGAATAATCCTCCGTCCACTTGGACGTTAGACTTTCATCTTGATGATTGCGTAAATCGTATGATTGATTCTGAGTAGAATGTCCTTTGGAAGAGTTCGACAGATCTTCCGGACTTTTCGAGACCTCTTCTTCTTCCACTTTTTCGTTATGCTTTTCAATCGGTCTTCGTAATACAGGTCTAAATAATGCGCTGTCATATTCATCTTGTTGCTGCTTCTTTTGAAGATCGCTCTGTATGGTTTTGTAAACATCGTACTGTTTGTTGTCCGATTTCAATGATTCTTGATGATTAATGTTTCTGTTATTTTCTTGCTCTTGTACGTAATAACTCTTTTGTTCGTTTTCACCTAAAGCGATTCGGTGATCAGTGGTTGTTTCTTCCTCTTTTCTAAGTAAATGCGGCGCTTTGGAGCCGACCGGTAACAATCCTCTCGGATTAGAATTACCTCCTCGAGATGGCAAGAAAGGCCTCTTCACGATTCGAATAGCGGTTCGAGTTGGAGGAGGAGACGGAGACGGATCTTCCAGCGGCTCGTCGTAATATTCTGACGAGTATTCGTCTGTATACGTGACCTGATGATGACCCTGTTCGTTTTTACTCTCCAGATCTTTGTCTTGATAATCTGCTTGCTGAGACGTTCTCTGAGATTGCCCAGACAAATTTCTGTAATTCTGATAATCCTGAATATCGCTCGCTACACGATCGCTTTGTGTCTGAGTGGGTCTGGATGGTCGTTCCGAATATGATGGCTTTTCCGATCGATCAGTTACCACATCCTTGACGTCTACTTCAGACTTATGAATAAGCTGTTCCGGTAAGCAGGTCGTTGTAGTTGTTGTTGTAGTACTTGTGGTAGTGGTAGTTTTCTCGGTTGTGCGATCGTATGAGTTCGGTCTTCTGGATACTTCAGTGCTCTCTGATAGATCCTTCGATCTTGAAGACGATCGCAGTCGGTCGGCGTCTCTTTCGCGATCGAGAAGCCGAGGCGAGTACGGTCGCTCTTGTCTGTCGGAATCTTGCGATCTTCCGCGCGAATCGCGATCCGAAGATCTCTCGGAATCCTGTGATCTTCCTCGATCCGAGGTTCTTTCGGAATCTTGTGCTTTTCCTCGATCACGATCCGAGGATCTCTCGGGAGCGCGATCTTTTCCACGATCCCTACCACGATCCCTGTCTCGATCGTAATAGCGATCCCTTGAGCGATCCTGATGCGTTCTGAGTCGTACTTCTTCCGGCGGTGAATGATAACGAGTTCTACGAGATAGAAAAAATTATTAATTATTATCATTAATTGTTAATTAATGAACGAACGATTAATGTGAAGTTTAATGGTCGCGTTAAATTTCTGTAAATTGATTTTTACAGCAAATTTATTTTGTGTCTATTAAAAAGCAATTTTCCAATTTTATATCAGAACTTAATAGAAAAATATATTATTAACGATTGTATGTTAAAAATGTGTATGTGTTGATATTATTATATGAAGATTATGAGCTATTTCATACAATTATATTCATTAAAATTTAATATATCCAAGATAACAGTTTAATTTTTTTTTAATTTAGTATTTTTTATATATGTATATGAATATGATTTGTGTTTAGTAGAGTTTAGTTCATTGAATATAATTGTATCGGTATCGTGTACGTTACCTTACCTGAGGGGACGGTCTCTATCTCGAGTTTCATAAAAATCTCTGTCCCTGTCTCTTTCTCTGTCCCTATACGAAGGTCTTCTTCTGAGCGGTCTCCTGATCGGTCTAATATCTTCTAATTCATCCTCGTAATAATCATCCTCTGTCGCATCTACCGGTCGTCGTCGTGGTTCCTCTTTAATTATATAAATATAATTTTTATTATTTTTTTTAAACAGTGATTTATATATATATGTATAATAACTTTTTTTGAAGAGAGATTAATTTTACCTGTTGGTTGCACGGGAGTGGTTTTGTACGCATATCTATCTTGCTCCGAAAGTGGTACCGGTCGCCTAATCTTGGGCGGCGTTCTTGGTCTTGCATAAACCGAACTAATAGGCGCAGCTGGTTTCACCAGACCTTCCGCGTTGGGTGACGTTGCACTCGCCGAAGGCGCTACAGGTTCCTTATCATCGTAATCATCTCTGTACCTAGCATGAACGTAAATTTTGCAAACATATTTTACTCAAACAATACGAGATAGAAAAAATATGATCAAATATTATCATATCTAAAATATCAGAGATTTTTCAGCACAAGTCTCTCTCACCTCTTATCAGAATATCTTCGATCATCGGTATCTCTGTTTCTCGACTCCGTTCGTCTATCGTACACATCTAATTCGTCTACCTCCCTCGACGTTGATCTGATAACCTGATCCGGATTTCTTCCCCGCGGTCTCACGTCATCTTCCAGTGGATCTCTCGACCTCGGTGGGTCTCTTCTGTTGCCTCTACCCGAGTATCTGTCCCTAAGGGCGTCTCGATCCCTATCGTCTCTGCCGCGTGGTAGCGAATCCCTTTCTCGGAAGTCGCGATCGCGTTCCCGGTCTCTAAACTCGCGATCCCTGTCACGCCTGTACTTCCGATCCTCGTAATCGTACTCGTCTCGATCGGCGAAGTCTCGCAACGGACGGCTGTACTCGTCGTCGTAATAGTCTTCCTCGTAATAATCATAGGGTCTTCTTCTCGCCGGTGGTCTCCTTCTAGGTGGAACTCGGTCACGTACGACCGGTCGACTAGTCGACGCGGTAATTGGCGTCACAGTAGTCGTACTAGTGGTAGTAGTCGTAGTAGCTTGATAAAGAGCATCGTTTCTGTGCCAATACTTCTTGGAGTTGGCGCAATCGACCTCAGACACGAAGTGGCAAATGAAGGTCTTCTGATCGAACGCCGTGAAGTTGGCACACAGGAAGTCGTAGCGAGTGCCGAAGAGACAGTGATGATAGACCTTGAAAAAAAAACATTCAGGCGAGGTACTAAAATAATTGCACGACACGCTGATATTATTATAACGACTGATCGGCGAAATATATTTTAACGAATGGACGAATGTTTGAAATCGAATCGGTCGAGTGAAAGCGAGCGACGAGTCGGCTGTCAGGTTTTCGAGATTTTTGAAGATGCTTTTGTCGGTTCCTTTTTATTTTCATCTGCGAATCTAACTCTCGATTTGTTACGTCTTCTTCAGATAACGAAACGTCGACATGACGATTTAGCACACTTTTCACCGCGAATGAACGCGAGCACGATCTTACCGCACGCCACGATGTAGCTTTCACACGGCTGGTGCATGTGTGCGACGGCAAATAATTGCATCGAGTCGCATAAATGTGCATCCTGCGGTAGAGAGAGAGAGAGAGAAAGACAAAGAAAAAAAGAGTCATTAGTGTGCGAGGGCTCGTTGTATTATCTGGAACGCACAAACGCCAGTGAATTATCTGGGGAATTATCTAGAATCATTTAGAGCACATCCTTTCGGTAAGCGTTCGACACCGTTTCACTGAAATTCTCGTAAAAAGAAGGGGCTGGCTGATCTCCTCCAATAATAGATCATGAATCTTACTCAACTCGCCATGTAAATGTCAGACGATCATTGAATGCCTAATCGCGCGTTTAATGAGCCTCGCGCGATGTAGAATAATTTCAGTATAGTTAGAGTTGTTATATAAAATTTTTGCTAGAAATATATCCTTGTTCCGATTATCTTCTAGTTTGTTACCATTGAATTATATATGGAGAAGATGCGTTTGAAAATATGATAAAACATTTTTCGGCATAAAATTTATTTTGTAAAACACCGATTTTCTCCCGGAAATTCTGGACCTTCATAGTTTCAATTCTATGAAGAATTTACGGTGGAAAGTTGGTAAAACGTTTGTCAGAATTTCCTCTATGCCGAATGCAGAAAACAAATAGCGGTTATTTGCATTAGAAATGCGGCGTTAAAATTATTCAGAACGCGTCTTTCTTGATTCGACGAGTATATTTTGCGTATACAATCTTTCGCGTCCTTAGTTTCGTCAGTGAGTTACAAACTCCATGTTTTCGTAGACGCTCTATATCGATCATGCAGCTCGGGAGCATTAATCACCAGGGCCATTACAATTGTAAATTCGCTCGGGGCTACGGGAAAGATCAGAAAATAATCCAAGCGATCGCGAGTGATTTCCTGGCAGGAAGCCGGCACGGCGAATTAATTGCTCATTTCCCAATTTCTCTTCCGTGACAAATCCTTTGCAAGCTGAGCACCGTGATGTAAATCGTCTTTTCGATGGCTTTTTACACGGCGTCTCATATATATGGAGAGCCATAGCGATCTCGACCGGCGAATCTCGCGAATCTCTATACGTTATTTGCATGACAATAGTACATTCGCTCTACAGCCCCGTGAAAATGATCGATAAGAGATGATCGAGTCGAGTACATCGGAAAGAGGCTGCCTTGCAATCCCTCGCTTTCACAATCGTATAGGATTTTCGCGCGCACGTGAATCGCGGAACGGTCAGGGACGGGAAGCGTAGCGAACCACGAAAGTCCTCTTCCTCGGCTTCTTTCCACGACGACCTTGTTATTGCGGCCGGCAAAACATTTTTCACTTTCGATATCGATTTCTACTCGCACTTGCTCTGTTGCCTTTACAATCGACGTGATAATATGGTATGGTACCGCCAATTATTTGAATTTTCGAAAATGACGATCTTCTATCACGGCACAAATTTAGTAGGGAGTGTACAACCAATAATATATATTATTATACTTGTTATAAATTTTCCTTCATTATCATGGAAATAGCATTAATTGTCTATGCGCGGGTGTATCGTTATAGAAATTGCCGTCACTTAAATTACGGTGAACGCGACGTTAATCTTCTTGATTTTGTATTATAAATATTACGTCAGGTCTCTCTCGCTCACGCTTGTTCCCTCTATATATATATATATATATATATATATATGAAGTTGCAGTAATCATCATTCTTATATGTGTAGGTATATGGTAATTATATCAGAAGAGTAATTTAATTCCATTCAGAAGAGGCAAATAAATTTGCGTCGTTGCAACGATGATTTCTCAATCGGTCGTTTTTCAAGCCGATCCCGTCATGCCAGGATTCACGGTGAAACGATCGCTCTCAGCGATGATTGGTAAAAGTGTGCTCAATCGATACGCATTTTTTTGCACTCGCATCTCGTTCGAGAACTCGCTTTCGTTCATGGCTGCTCGCATCGCGGTATCGATGCTTATCAATCAAGTTCTTTATAGATGCTATCACTGCTACGAATCGGATCGTGATTACTGTCTTTCGCTGGCGTTAGAAACGTCAATAAACCCGAAGTAACGCTCACCGATCATTGACACCTGTTTATTACGTGACGGAGACATCGCCAGAAGAGATCTTTCTTTTCAAATTTATTCAGGCGACGCCGACTTTTCTGTCACCGCAGCATCAACTTTTTTCCAAAGAAATAATTCTAGCTTATCGTTTCTATTGTCACTAATTATATTTCTAATGACAAAGTAGCAGCGATGAGGCTTTATAAGATATCGATCGTGTAATAAACATCTTTCGACGTAGATTACACGCGCTACGATTCTAATCCTTTTTTCTGTTTCCAAAGATACAATATTGCGCTGATATTGCTCCGATTAGATATGATTTTTGCAACACAAGTATCATTAAACTAATTACCTGGCACTTGTGCGGCACGCTGGCGTAGAATCCATCGTGCAGGCCGTCGCATTTGAAGTCAATATCCTCGGGTATGCTATTATAGAATGGATAATCACTGAGATTATATCCATTTAACTCGCGCGGTAGATTCGGATCCCATATGTAATCGATTTGCGGAATTCCTGTTAAAGTGTGCCCGGTCGTTCCGTTTGTTTCGATTGCAGCTGTTGTCGTCTGGAAAAATAAATTACAATTTTTTTTGAGATCTCGAACTTTTCATCATTTTTAAAATTAACAGGTTGAAGAGAGTATTTCAAAAGTTAGAAAACTTTAATATAAAACTTATATGCCTCTATGTCACATTTTATGAAAATAGCTTTCATTTCTTGCGGGAAATACGAGCATCGATTTTGTCGTAATAACAATTTCCGTAGACGGAAGAGCACATTCGCAACAGACTAGTATCTGATAGAAAAGTTATTTTACGCTTGAAGAAGCCGCTGTGCAATAATGCTTAGCGATGAACGCTCGAGTTCGATTTAATGATGACACATTCGCTCGTTTGTGTGTGTGAAGGTGAACCTGTCGACGCGCGTTAGTTTAATTTAACGTTCATTGATTTGACGCCGGGGCATAAATTAATGGAAGTGTTTGAGCGCCTCCGCAGATACAGATACTGATGAGTCGATTAAATTGAATTTACGTAGCATGCAAGTTTTATAAGACAGTACTGCAATTTTTTATATTATTTAGAACACAATGCATAATATTTATTGCATCATTACGCTTGTCATAAAGCAGCTATCTTGATTGTAAGATGTTTTATTAGGTTAATTTACGTCTATTGCACTCGTCTGTACGTATCTTTTGCGAGGTTCTCTTTTTATTCATGAAGAAGCGCTGTTTCGCGAAATCAGAATTCATTTGGTACACATGTAATGCTCAAAGTAACTGTGGAATCGGTTTTGCAATATTTCGACAATTGTATTTCGTATGCGTAACATGAATAACATGATTGCTACATCTAGTTACATTAGACTTAGACGTGATTTCAATTTAATTGCTTTTTTTAATGGAAATGCACAATTTATATATAGTATTATTTATAAAACATTTATTAATATTAAAAGTTGAATTTATTACATTTATATCGATTTCAATCGTTTTGATGATGTAAAGTCGATCAATCGTAAATGTTAAAATAAAATTCAAATTTATTGGCTAATTATTAAATTACTAAAGACTACTAGATAATACTTGAAAATAAATTATCTTTTGCTTTGTGAGTTATTATATGATAATTCTTTTTAAATACATACTTCCGAATTTGCGTTTTCATTTTCCTCCACGTCAGGTTCCTCGGTTGTGGTAGTGGTGGTCGTCGTGGAGGTTGTCGCAATTTTGAATTTCGGTCTGGTCTTGAGTGCTGCGGAGACCACATGAGCCAGTAATATTCCTACCAATATAAAAAAGCAATCTCATTATAGGGAACGTTGATTTAAAAATCATTGAAGCAATTGCGAGCGCAATCTGAATCACGAATTGGTTCGAGGTAAATAAGTTCGTTTTGGTTGCCTTAGAAGTATCGATGGACCCGATGAGCCGTCCGATACATTAAGGAAAAAGGCCAGTACGTATCCGTGGATTACGTAAATCGCGGAGAAGCGTCGGCGTTGCAAAACTTGGACGTGAAGTGTTGTGAGAATCTAACATAAGTGTTGTAATTTTCTCTTGCTGAGAGCGAGTGCATTCGGTTGGGTAATTGTTCTTAAACGGATCAAGGCTGTCTATTGATCGTTTCCTTTCCACGTTTTGTTGATTTACAATCGAACCATATACGTAATAACGTAACAAACTTATAATATATTGTGTATCGACCTGCAATCAATTTATCATTAACATTTGACCTTTATTTTTCAATTGTTTCTTATTTATTTCTTTTATTGTTCGATTTATATTATTTCTCCTTTCTCTTTCTTTAATGTAGTTTCTTTTATTACGTTATTTTATATAAGTTAGTTTTCTTTTTTTATTTTATGTTATGTTATACGTTAATATTGAATTATTTAAAATGAGTAAAAACATCAGAAAAATTCCAGCGGCTATTTTCAACTATTAGGCTTCGTAGACCTTGCTACTGAATCACATTTGTACTGTTTTGAAGTAGTTCAAGGCTGTTTTGAGAGCTAGCAGCTGAGGAAATTAAGACATAAGGAGTGAATAATTTGCAAAGTGTGAATTAAGGTAAAGATTGTTTCTAGCTTTTTTATATTTTATCCCCGAGGACGCACAACTTTATATAGGCGTGAACATAATCAGTAATTCATGTTCTAAGAATATATTACATTTGATACGCTGGTATGGTTTTTCGAGGAAAGAGAAGCGAGAATTAACAAATGCTACGTATACTTGATCAATTGAATTAATAATTAATACTTAAAATGAAGAAATAATTGCGAGTAACCGAGTAAGCATTTTTATAATGCTCGTAATCGTTGCTTTTACGATCGTTTTATGTTTCTCGCTCCCGTTATTTTCGACACTCTTCTATAGATTCGCGAATATATGGTGCGCATACATGCGGAAAAACGTGTTTGATTAGGACTGCGGCCACGTGAACGCGACTTTATGGGCCGGAAAGTGGACGTCCTCGAAAGTGATGTTGAAAATGTGGGCTCGACGATCGTGTAACAGAATCATACTTTTCCAGGGTTTGCAATCGATAACAAACCGTGCTACACAGGTCGACATTGTATAAAAATGAATTATGAGAACGCGCTCGCATTCTGTTTGTGGGAAATGTTAACGTGGGCGTGCTCCCCTTTCATAGATACAGTTACGGTAAATCTGACGAAATCACCATTGTTACTATTACTATGTATATAAATGTTTGCTTCATCCAATTGTCTATTCCGCGACACGGATTTTCAATCGAATGGGAATGATCTGACATTTCCTTTTCTCGAAGACGCCCTTCACGCCGATCACGTCTTTTTTTTACCTTACTTATGATTCTTCTCATTGAGAAATTCTAGAGAAATTACTCGTGTTACGAGATGCATTCACGTCTACGTCTGCGCCTAATACATAATTAGTGCTTAAACGTTGGTTATCTTTATCGCCTTTAAAGTTTATATAGCATTATATGATTATCATAAAACTTTTACGATGCTAAGAATAGCAGCTTCTCAATTATTTCGTAATTTTAAAGCGAGATTTTAAAGATCTTAAAGAAAGCATTTTAAATGCTAACAATAATCAATTTAAATCGTGATCGTTCTAATGAATATTACAAATGGAAAATAGATCGACAGTGATTTGAATTCGTCGTACGCATTTATATCGTGCCGTAAACAACCACAAAGTAATTTTTTTCCGACACTTTTTGCATTAGTTTCCATGAAATTCTCTATTTTTATTAGATTTGGATTTTTTATCATATTACAATAAAACGATTGATGTTAGTATTCGTTTCGAGTATTTTATTTGGATTCTCAAGATTTTTTTGGACTTAAGATTATTCGTCACATGTCTCACATGGCGAGACAAAGAAAATGATCCTCTTGACATTCACGACAGGTCCCCTTTCTTCGTGGGACCTCTCTGTGAAATGCTTTTGCGAATAACATGCAGCCACGATCGCAAGGCGAATACCAAATGTATATTTGACGTAAGATGAAAGAGATTAATAAGAATCTTGCCACTTAACATTCGAGGCTCTTAGTGTTCTTTGCATTCGGCACTTTTGATTAATCATACATCAAAATCGTCTTTCAAAACTTAGCTTTTCAGCGATTGTGTGACAAAATAAGAGAGAAATTTTTTATCGCAATTTTTAAATTAATTATTTCACTTTTATATAATAATATATACGCTTTCAAAAATAATCATTTATCTTCAGTTTAAATATTTTTGAATTATCCATCAATTTAATTTGCTCGTCGTGGAAGTTTTGCATTGCACGAGGAGTCGCGGTGAGAATCTACGTGCGCGACTTAAAATTCCCGGGTGTAGAAGGTCGTCTATACTGCCTCTTCGGCATTCCACTGCGGCCGTGAAAAGTCCAAAAATACTGAAGACACAACGTTAAGAGGGAAGAGAATCGTGAAATGGACAAGAGGAGATTCTTTCTTCTGCGGAGCGGCACAAACAGGATTTCAAGAAATAGTAGAAATCGAGTAAAAGTCCCGCTGACAAGCTCCGCTTAGTATTGGGGAAACACGATCGTTGAGAAGCGAAAAATCATCCTCCAGAAACTCTGCTTACCGTACAGAGCGAGCAGCAGCAGCCATCGTTTCTCCCGCATGTTGGCACTGAAACAAACAGATTAATCGTATTAGTTCATGGAATAGTCTATTTATTACTTTAATTAAAAAATGTGAAATTAAATTTGTATAATTAATTGAATTAAATAAATGAAAGAGTGAATAAATAATTCATATATATAAAATCATTAAAATTTCATCTCTATAATCTCAGCTGTTAATGTCTGTCTATTTTTTACACAACATGTCCTGAAGGACGAAAGAAATTTCTGTTTCCGAAATGTCAGTCAAATTCCTCAGGGTATCGAGAAGTAATCACACAGCACTGTAAATCGGTGAATATAATCAAAGCAGAGAACCTTAGCACTGTAGTCGTAGACTGTAGAGGTTCTCGAGCATATGGGAATGGATAGGAACTTTCTCTGTGCTGTCACCACTGCTAACCATATAATGCAAGGATAATGCGGGTGTTATATAAATGCGCGATCACGTAATATCGGGTGTGACTTTGTAGTAGCGGTTGTGAATGTTTAATTACTAGAGGGTATGCTTCTGCAACGCACGCATCTGCTTAATAAAATCTTTCGGAAGAGATTCTCGATGCGATAATCGATAATGTCTATTGACTCAATAAGTCGTTATATGCTGGAATATAATTACGCGAGTGTATAGCGATAGATATTACATTCTTGATAAGAATATCGAATATCCTTTCTCTGAATCTTGAATTTGCATCAGAATCTTTACATTTTCTACAAGATTCTTGAATATTACATGCATACATAAATGGCGCAATTTACTTGTGTTTAAAAAAAAATGTTTTTCTTTTCGTATCTTAAATTATTTCTTCGTATATGATCTTTATTTTTCGGACTGTGCCGATCACTGTCGATAATTTGCACTCTGTACTAGCATCATGCCTTTAAGATTTTATTTTTTTCATGTTGTCTGGTGAAAGTAAACCTTGCAATCTTTCAGCATCAAATTAGATCTTATGAACTTGATACATTATACACCACGAGTACATATATATTATATGCTTGTTAAAATTTATACAATTTGTGTACGATCGACGATCTTAATGAGATTTGAATCGCAGTGAATCTGATAAATTTGACACTTTCGCCAATAAATAAAAGATCGCTCTATATACGTGCAATGCATATCTTGCGGTTATATAAATGAATCCGACGCGCGAGATGATTTGAACAAAATACACACAATAGAATGCAATTCCGGTCTATCGCCTTTAATTAAGCAGAAAGGCGGTACGTGATTTTCAAGCGTAAATAGATACGATTCCGTGCACGTTCTTCTCAGTTTCCGCACAGAAATGTGGAACGCTCGAGCCAATCGCACGCGGTGTACCGCGTACATGCTCGCATTAATTAAGAGTGCGCTATCGCGCTCCAGTTCTCACAATAGATTTTTATCGTTTCTATAAAAGTAAGAAGGAAAGAGAGAGGATGTCCCCCACTCTCTCTTCCTTGCACTTGCTAAAGTCGCACAAGATTGTATATTATTCGGTTACACAAGTTTTCGTAATTGTTCCTTGTGTTCGTGTCACAACGCGAACGAGTTCTCAAGCGGCATGGGAACCATCCTTCCCAGATTAAGAAGATTAATTTTATCCGGAAGCTGTGCAAATGAAATCCGTATCTTAACAAGATCTACGAATATTCGGACATTTTTTTCTTTCACTCGGAAAAATATAATATTTTACTACGTTTCATAATAGTATATACAATTTATTATCGTTTACTTGACTCCGTCAATATTTAAAATCTTTGTCTATTTATATGGCATCGTGTAGTTTTACGATTATTGCAGATGCATATTTGTACTCCAAGGAAAAAAATAGAGACCTTTAGAAAATATTATCATACTGTTTAAAGATTCTATTTTATGCATTATGAAGAATAGAAGATAGATAATACAATCTAAACACATTACATTGCGACTTTTATCACTTATTAATGTTTTTCTTGTCGGAAATGTCTTCTTTGTCAAGTAGTTTGTGGAATGTGTTACTTGTATAACGTTACCTTACGGTAAATTACGTTATATTACGACATACGAGTAACGGTCAACCATGCTTATTAAAGGTCACCGGAAATGATGGCTCATACGACGAGTTACTTTATTCATTAGACTTTTTAAATTAATCTTCGCGAGTGCGTAGCGTAAAATGTTTCAAAGATTTTTAATTCTTTTCTTGAATAAACTATGAAAGAATTATTAAAAAGAGATTGAACAATTTTTTCATATTTTTATTCCAAATAAATAATAGCATTCTAGCAAATATTTGCAACTTTGAGTCAGTAATTTTGTTTCCTTTGTAATAATTTATGTGGAACTTTTATGCGTTTTTCTAGCTGTCAGTTGTGACAAACACAATTTTTCGAACGAATGTTGCGCTAACAATAAGGCGTGGTTACAAAACTCGATAGCCTTCAAAAACAGTACGCCGAAATAACAGGCTTTCATTTCCTCGTGCGTGCTATTCGAATGCTCGCTTCGAGGCATATTACTGAATTAATTGCCGACCGATAGAAAAAACTATACGACTAATATCGAATGTAATGTGATACGATGAGAAGAAACGTTAATTAAAAGATGCGACTATATATGCTGTAAATTGCGAAAGCTCAATACGGAAATTTTCTTCGCCTTACGAGATTATCATTCTTTTTCTCGTTAACGGGAATTACTGTGATTTACACACAGAAATATACAGAAATAAGATAAAATTATATGTCGTGTATTGTAAATGTCGAAAATACAAACTGTAATTTGGATAAGGATTCTATAATTAAAAGTGACTTAGTGATTTATCGTGTTACCGCTTGAAGCCATAATTTACATAAATAGCTGGTGATTGACATTTAGAATTTAAATATCAGGAAGAACCAAGATACAAATGTGTATATTATCAGAAACTTTGGCAGAAGTTTTTTATTGTTTATTATTATTTCTAATAAAAAGGATAAATAACTCATATTTTACGCAATAATGAAGTAATGAATGTTTTTGAAAGATTATTGATCTTATTGCGGCGAGTTTTTCCCATAAAGTAGTGAACAAAGCCGGATTAAGTCAGACACGATACGACGCACGTCAATGCGATATTTAAAGTAGGTCTGTTTAAAATAGATTTATTGTAATCTATCAATTGAATCGATCGCGAGCATAACGTCATCTCGTCATTCTAATTTTCATATCATGCTATCCGTACATAGAGTGGAGTATCCGTTACACTAGTTACAAGCACATTGCTTGCCTTGTAGGTAGAAAGTGTGCAATTGTGTAAGGCAAACATATGCAGAGCAAACGTTAATAATCGCAACGGGAGCTGTTGATCGTGCGTGCGCGTAAGAAGTATCCTTCGTAAATTATGTAGATTACTATGTAGTTGTGTGTAGAGTATGAAACGTTGAACTTGTTTGGACGCTCGCCAGGGCTGCGTCGAGGATTTCCGAGAGATACGAATAAAACGAGATTCTGCGCAGCTGTGTCCAGAGTGAAGTAAACACGCGTTGCAAAAATCGATTTTTATTTTTTTTTTTATATTATGAATATATATTTGAGAATTTTTGACTTATGGGGCTTCATATTTAAATATAGAAATAAGCTTGAACGTGCGCTTTATGTCTAAATATAGGAATACCTGTATAGAAATATTCTCTACATTTCAGAACATTAAAACGATAAGTAGAGTGGAAAATAAAATTTGTGACGCTACAATCTTGTGATTTAGTTTTATAAATTAGAAATTATTTTTTAAGGCCAAATAAAAGCAAATTAAATTAAAGAAGTTGAATTTATAAATAGTTGAATTTGTAAAATTATTTTGAAAAAGGATATTTTTATATTTCTTTCTATTTGATATGAACAGAAAGAAACTATATTAGGAAACGTTATTCATTTTAAATAGAAATTTATCTTTTAATTTTGTCATGTTTTCATAAACTATTGAATATTTTTAAGTGTTGTAATTTTTGTTCTATCTCGTCAATATATCGCGTTTTCGTTCTAACGCTAGAACGATTTCTCCCATTAGAATTTAGAAATTTTTCAATAATTTTATAAGTTTTCTGTGAGGCTACATATTTTGTTAATTAAGTTATTCATAAAATATAATATAACATATTACTAATTTACGAATAAAGAAAATATATAGAACTTTTTTTTTGCGGTAAAACAAGTTTAATACGAATAAATATACGCGCGCAGATTTTAGTTGTAGTGGTATATTTTTAAATTAGTTTGTAACACCTACATTCACGAAGTTTATCGTACGCTTCAACGACTAGGAATTAAAATAATCAGGTTCATTTATCACAAAGCAACTTTTGCGCAACAAAGCGATATCGTTTGATATTCTTATCAAATTAATCGCGTATTTTTATTAATGTTATTATCGATTGTAATTTTAATTTTCTACATTTAAAATGTCATTTTCAATTTTTCGGCCGCACACACTAAGTGAAACCTTTTAATTTTTGTCAAAAAATTATTGTTGTTGGCCAACTATTCGGAATTCATTCGATCGAATCAATCGAAAAATATTCTTGCCGATTCAGACGAGAGACCGGCTCTGAAACAAATAATTTCACTCTCGGCTGGGAATAAAACTCATTCGACCGTAAAGCATCGTTCGCGTCGTTTTGTTGACTTATGCAAGATCTATACAACAAATATAAAATATGTATATATGCGTAGACAATAGATAATTATGAGAAAAGAGAGAATTTTGCGGTTTTCCTAAATCTGCGTGTTAAAAGCTGAATATTTGATATGCGTTCTTAACATACAATTTGAATTTCAGGGAGCAGACATTAATATAACATCAACGTGATTAATAATTCTGAACGCTTCATTACGAGGCTTTTACGTAAGCGCGAGGTGTTAATAACGCGCGATAGATATCTTTTGATATATCCAGCGAAACGATTCGAAAGTTATTATTCAAGAGCGGGCGGAGAGAAAAATCAGACGAATCCGCCGCGTTTTGCCTCCTACGAATTTCTCCCCTAAGAAGAGAAGTCTGTGCTTCGTGTATAATTAGCGCGATTAATGTGTCGTGAAGCCGGTGCTTCACCGCCATCTTTTTCCCGCTCTTCCTATTCCGTGCGAACGATTGTTCGTTAGAGAAGAGGGCACGATGAGATCGATGGGGGTCCATATATAAGAGATCTTTTACGGCACGGCGCTTCCTACCGCGTTATAAATTTCTTTATGTAAGTTACAGTTTATTGTAATTTTTTACGTATATGTAACTTTTATGAAAGCAACGGATACGATTGAATGTCGCAATAATTCTGGTATAATAATATATATATATATCTCGTTTGTATAATAATAATTATAAATTAATTTTATTACTTTTGCCGATCACGCACGTACACGAACATTCCATTACAAAATAATTAAATACATACATTTATCGAAAGTAAACTCTCGCAACATCGTCACATATCGCGCAAAAAAGGTGTGACATACTTTTGGCTGACGCATTCGATCACTGGTCTGGTTTTCTTACTATGAAAGTGCTGATGGCTCAAATTTCGTTTTGTCCCCGGGCGATACGTCACAAGCTTTCAAAAGTCTGATTTCTATCAAACAATTAAGATTCACACGTTGCACCAACAATTCATTTCTCAAACTTCTACGAAACGTGACGACATTATCCTCTCGAAGAAATCAAAAAGGCAAAAAATGATGTTTGTTAACAGGAACGATGGTCAGTCTCAAATCAAGCATTCATTAAATTCGTGAACTTTAGCTTTGCCTCGCATCAATATAGTGACTTTTGACGAGTCTTTTACTTGATAATGATAAGTAGTGATTTCACAGATGCTGCATGCTGCCATTTTTATTTGCACTCTACTCTGAGATACGCATATATATCTTCTCCGAACTCATACACCTTTGCTCGGGTTATCCTCTCAATCATTTATTCATCCTCTTCTCCGCAAACGCGATTATATCTTCCAAGACATTATTTACAGCGAAATGTGTGCGCGCGTTAGAGGATACAAGGTAATAATTACCGAGATTATTAAGCCATCCAATGTCATCATTAGCGATCCAAATTTTATTTATTCCCATTTGTAACCGTATCTCTCGTGTAATTATTTGAAAGGCATGTTAAATCGAAGATATATTTCACCGTTATATTTTTTCCTCGGCACATATTATTTTACCATTCAAGCAACAAGAATTTCCTCCGAGTTGATCGCCGAGATACTTCTCTCTTTTTTTTTAGCGCGAATCCGTCCGGCGCTAATGACGGATCGCTAAAATGGAATTTCGTTCGCGGTCGCAAACCACGCGAATCGCAAAACTATCCGGGCGTTCGATTATGGCGAAGTCGCTCGTTTATTTTTCCGTCGGCGTATCGGGAGAAAGCCGACCGTCGCTTGCTCGCGCTTGCTCGCGACATGGATTATGTCGTAACGCCGTCGTGGCGCTGTGCAATATTGTTTATGAAAAAGATTGTCCCGCAAACGGCGCATTCAAAAAGAAGCACGTGTTCGCCGCCGATGTTGCTGCATCCCTCCGTCGTCGATCCATCGACGGCGCTAAGACGAACGAGCCGACCGCGCGATTACGAAACTTTTTTTTAATTACATAACGACAACGTTCTCGCGCGCGGCGAAAATTCTCGCGCGTATTGCGGTCTTGTCCCTCGTGAGCCTGAAATGCCTGTCCGAAAATGCAGACGGATACTTTAAGGTATCCTTATACGACGAAACGAGGAGAATCTGCGCAAGTTGAACGAACGTTGAGATATTAATTGTGATATGTCATTAATTCTGGATTTTTGTTCATTTTAATGATTGAAATTGAGCGATTCGAGAGACGTGCGATGAAAATATATCGCGGTGGTTTAAGCGTAAAATCTGAATGGCGAGAAGGGTATTTGGAAAAAAGGATGGGTCTCTCGTTAGGGGAAGAGTTGGCAAGGCGTGTCGCGTCTAACGCGTTCCTCTCGCAAATTAAATTCACTTTCGAACGTGTATACAATCGCCTCGCGGAATCCACCGATTGAAAGTGAACGTGGTGGACGCGTTAGAACTCGTTGGACGAAGCGAGACGATGAATTACACGAGTAAAAGAGAGGCAAGGAAAGAGAGAACGGTGGTGTATATCGTCGATCGTCGAGGTTACGGAAAACTTATTCCGTCTAATCGATAAAGCGATCGATCGTGGCAAGTTAACTTGCGTATACGAGCGAGATGAATTCTCGATTTAGATAAATCCACGATAAGAGGAGATATATTGCTATCGTGAGATCAATTGAAAGTTAAGTCTCGCTCGTGAAGTGTCTCGTCTGAATTAAATCGCTAAAGCGAGTATTTTCTCAGATTGAAATTGTTTGAAGAATTTTTCAAAAATTCTCTTTACTCCAATTCATATTATGCGACCGCGCTTAAATTATCTAATTATTTCACTCGCCTACGAAAACTTTTCTCGCAATTTCGTGGCAATGGCGTATGATTGATTTCCTGTGCCGTGATAAATAGGAATAAATTACCACAAGACCGACGAAAGTTTCCATCGAGCATAAGATTCGTGGAGCGAGTGCACCGTGCGTGCCCGATGCGTGCGTGCCGTTGCGAATGTGAAGGTGTACATGCGCGTGTGAACGTTCGTCGCACGTGTACGTCTCTCCGAACGCGAACTCTCTTCTCGTTACTCGCGATTCCCCTACGAGCAGATTAGAAATTCGTGACTTTGCCGGAGAACGCAATATCGCTCGACTACTCGCGATAGAAAATGTATCGCGCAAAAGGGGATCGAGAGTGTATCGCGCTAATGCTTTTTGCTTGATATTTTTTTCAGGCGACGCTTCGCGCGGCGATCGTTTCGATTTCGCGTATCATCGATCGAGTGGAAAGTCGGATGTGACAAATTCATTCGATATGATAAAACCACTTCGCTCTCGTTCGTCGTCTCGCGATCGCTTAAAAATCGGTAATGCAAGAACGATCAGGAAGAAGAGCGCAGGATGCGACGAGCAGCGAAAGTCCTGTCTTTATTGCGATCTCCGAAGCGGCTCGGTTTAATGCTCGCGTTTTTGTAGATCCTTTCCTCGATTCACTCGGATGACTCGAGCTCATCATATACGTCGTTGTATTTTTTTTAGACAGACAGAGATGAACGTACTATTAGATTTATAATAATATAATAATATAATGGTATAATGATGTATGTATAATTAAATAACTGAGGTGAGTGAAAATATATCAGAGATAAATGGTATCTTAATCTTTATTCTTCGGATTTCTCGAGAGTTTTCCTTTAAGGCTGTTCCATCCGGGGCCAACTTACATGAACTGTCGCAAGAGAACAATAATATTCTGACCGCCGGCAGAAGCTGAGAACTCTTTTTAAATAAACACTGTGATTAGGGTCGGTGAGGTAATACAAATTTCATTAAGTTCGTCGAAACATCGCGGCGCTTCGCTTTCTTTTTAATAGCGAAACGCGTATATAAAATATGAAACAAACTGTAATATCGCGCGCTTGAAATTAATAAAACATATATACGCATCGTGCGTTTCACCGGGAGATCGAAACGGTTTCTCGAACGAGCGATTTAACACTATGCAGATTTCGCAAGATCGTGAGAGCCGCGAAAGCCTTACTCCGAAACGGAGTATGATCGAAGTTTGTGTTTCTTTTTTTAAATCGCTCTCCTCGATTACGCAGCCCCTGCGAGAGCGGGGAACATAATTTATAGCGTATAAACTGCGCGAAAAAACGAAAATAAAAAGAGGATCAAACCTGTCTCTCTCGGCTCCGCTAGTTCTTCGCTAATTCCTCATGAAACCACCGTCCTCACATCGACTGGCACTTTGAAATGCAAATTCACAGGTGTATATACTCTACGCGTATTACGAGAACAGGAGCTAACAGATACGAGCACTTTCCGTTTTCGAGCGAAACTGACGTCCCGGGAAAATCTTCGTCGTTCGGTATCTTTTTTTTTTTCTTCGGCGGGACCGTGAAGATTAAACAAGACAAGACAAGACGAGACGATTTTTCGTGCGGGTGCGGGGCGAGATCGCGGCGTCCGGTCCGGCCAGAAGACTGCGCGATGGAAGTGGAAAAGCCACCAGCAGGAGCGTTGTGCTCCGACCACCATCGTCTGGTTGAGAGCTTTCTACGACCGACGACAAGGTGGAGGAGGGAGTCGCATTGGCGTCTTTGGGGCCCGATCCGAGCATTGGCGTAATCTTCTCGGGGACTTGAGGCCCCCGGATCGAGAGGGAGAGAGAGAGAGAGAAAGGCCCGCGCAAATAGGCACAGCACGTAGAAAGACAGACACCTGCGTCGCCACCTGACAGAACAAGAAAGACACGCAGACACTCGCAGCCCGGAAAGCGGGCCCGATATCGAATTGTTAAGGTCATTGCTGCGTGATATTTGTTCTCGCGCTGCGGCGACGGGATTAATCTCCTCCGACTCTATGCATTTACAACGAGCCGTTTTGACGTATAATTACGACGGACATGACATATATGCGGATGATTATAGCCGCGATCGTTTCGTTTCTATTGTCGATCCATTATATGCATGCGGTCGACGAGTTAAGTGTCGCTGTTATATTCGAGCTTCGTGAGAGATCTAGGTTTAATTGAATGACAGATGGGAGTGGATTAGAATCGGTCGATTTGTATACAGGTAAATTTTTTATGACATTTCTAATGTGAGCGGTTCGACACCTATTGTCATGATAAATATATGCGTGTACAAATGGAGTGGAGAGAGGTCTTTATCGAGGCTTTTTATCAAAGGTCTTATATTGCCTTCAGGGGTTTCTAAGCTAGCCGCGATCCCTTCGTCATCTGTCACTGAGCAAACTCAGCCTGCACACTTGGAAGGATGGATATATACGCATGAAAGATCAATCAGAGATGCGTCGAGTGAAAGTGGAACGTCGAGCATTAATATCTCGACAATGAATGCTGGAAATAGTCGCAGATGACGTCTCAATTGACTTTTCAATCGATAAGGATATCGCGTGAATCCTAACGAGGTGTATAGGAAGCTCCTTCCAATTAGTTTCCCTCCAATTAGTGATGCGTCTTTCGTAATGCTGGTAAAGATATCACGCATATAAGATTTCCATTTTCAATAAATTATCTTCACGGTCGCGCGAATCAAATGGATGTTGTCGTCGATACCAAAGAGAGTAACCGGATCTTCTCCATTAGATTCTTCTCTCTGTGGGATTAAAACGCTATACTAATACAACATTAAGCACGCGGAATTTATATGCTACTTATCAACAACTTCTAATGACATTTGAAGAAAATAACGATACGCCAATCACGTTATATGTGGGAAGATTTTCCCGTTTGCGTTGTATGTGGGAAGCGTAATAATCATTTGGAACTGGTTGTCAGAAATATTATACTCCTGCCGTTACATCATGCGAAAAATTCATTACATTGGTTACATAATAATCGGCAAAAAATTATACTAATTTAGTCGGATGCATTTATATTAAAGGTTATTTATTTCTTGAATTAAATTGAAAAAATCTGGCACTTTAAATTTACATTTACAATTTTATTCGCTAAGGCTAAATTCCCATTCTTGATATATAATCTTTGTGTCTTTGTGTTGTAAGTGGATATTTAATTTCAAATTAAACGCAATATAAATGTTAAAATAAACTTTCTTTATACTTGAAAGGGGGATTTGAAGTCTCATCAATAATCGACTACGTAAAGTGGATCCTGCTTACTACAAAGAAAGGAGCGTCTGGCCTCGTGTCACAGGTTTTGTTCATTATACGGGATCCACGGTGCTTTCTTAGTCTCTTGAGAGAAGTCGACGAGTCCTTTCTTCCTCTATCATCGACGACCAAGGACGACATTCTTCGTTTTTTCATTTTCCTCTTTTTTTGAGCTCGTTGTACTCGTTCGCGATTGTGGTCTTTCTTTGCGCGGAAGGTCAAATATATGAAATCAGGTTTAGCATGATTTTTTTTGCATTGGTTGAAAAATTTTCGTCCTTAATAAGTTTTATGATTGCAGCTTTATTCGATGCAAGAGTGCTATATATAGATTTTTTTTTAATTTTTTTAATATACAAAATATATAAGAAGCCTGTTCGCAGTCTAATATTTTTATTTATATCTCGATATATAAGTCTTGCATCCTCTCGTATTTTAATATACATATTCTAGTTTTCTCTGCGATTTTCTTATCTCCATATAATTATAAATGCATAAAAAGAATAAGGAGCCGAGTTTTCCCGTCACTTTTACTCTCATCACGTTATAAGGCCATTTTCAATTAAAAGAGTGTTTATCATGTTTTCCTTGGAATTCTATAAATATGTGTATTTATGCGAAAAACATGATAATTGAATCCATCATGATGATGGCTCCACTAATGAATAAAAGTATCGATCTTTCTATTATGATGCACGAACGTGATAAGCTGTATAAAGTTGAGTGCATTCTTGGATCGATGAGACGAAATTGCGAAACAGGATGAAAAGCTGTTTCACATAACGAGACACGCATGCAAAACGCAAATGGAAAAGTGTAGCAGTTAAGTGTCGAAGTTAGTATCCGAGGGAGAAAGATAGAGAAGAGGGTGGGGTTCGCCTGGTCAGTCACGACGAGCTCTCACTTTCTATTGTCCAATCATGCCAAGAAATTGTCCGACGTGAATTTTATTTAATGCTCCAAATAGCGCTTCGTTAATTGCAATCAATTTATCGTTTCTTTTGTAATAGAAGTTGTATTATTTAATTTCTGATTTCTTTATAGTATATCTTTTTGGTATATCTATATATATGTGAAATTAACATTTCTCGCGAAAGTTTTATATAGCGTGTAGCTAGAAAGCAGGAACATATGTTACTAAAAATGAAATGATGTTTCGTGAAAACATTAGTATTCGATTTATATAACTGTAGAAAATTTCTAATCCTTTTCGGGCAAATTCTATTTTATTTAACAGCGATAAATAAAGCAGACATCCTTATTACTTTCCTGTATCGGCAAGTTAGGAATTCAGTACGTAGCAGTACTTCACATACTTCGTAGAATAATACTTCGGATAGCGTTGCGTTCGCGAAAAATTATATATAAAAAATTTATTAATATACACAATTAACTATTAATTAAAATATAGAAGTTGTTAAATCTTGTTCCCATTTACATCTCTGTAGAGCTCGTCGTTGTTGCCGTAAAGTCTCGGTGAATCAGCGCAGTCGACCTGTAGTTGAAGAAAAATAATTGAAAAAGAATTAAAATCAATTAAAAATGTCTTAAAAATATCTATGTCAAATTATTCAAAATTTGAGATACACGTTTACCTTGAACCACCAGTCACAAACGCGAGTCGATTGACTAAAGACTGTACCATTTGGGCAAAGGAAACTAAACTGACGTCCATTTGGCAAGCACCAATGCCACACCTTGAATCACAAATACCAATATCCATTTTTTTATCCAATTATCAGATGACAATAAATATTTTGCATTTTTTACAAATTAATTTTTTCATTTTATTTTAAATTTGCGAGCAAAAGGAAAATTACATAAATATATATTTTTTAAAATAAGTTACAATCAATATTTTATAATTAAATTTTCAGAGAAAAAATATGCAAATATTTAATTTAAGAATAATTTGTTATACGAGCTAGCTCGTTCTTTCTAATATTTATTAATGAGATCAGCAGGTAGTATTATGATACGCACGTGTGCGCAGATACATTTAAATAATCTCGAATATTAAAATGAGACTATGCTCGGTGACCATATGGACGCACCTGACATCTGGCTTCAGGATCGGCATAATATCCAGGTAACTTTCCTCCACAGGTAAACGCGAGTCCGAAAGGCACCGAGTTGTAAATTGGATAGTCCACGCCAGGTGTGTAACCGTCCACTTGCTGTAATGCACCAACGATTATGCGTGTCATAGATAATCATGATTTTTTTAAGTCGTGACTAATTTGCTTGAAAATTATTTTTCTAAAGAATTAAAACATTTTTATTGTTATGATTATATTTATGATTTTATTGTGATTTTACTCTGTCGCGTAACGATTACATCAGTATCGTAAATTGCACTTGCAGTACATATTAATTTCCATTGCAAATCTCGATGATTGCATCGAAACAATTAGTGAAAATAGTGAAACTTGGAAAAGCACAATCACGTAGCTGCCGTTATTGTTTCGTTGAAACAAATAACAATACATTTCAACACGTATCATCTCGACAATGGAATGTGGCACGAATGAGGATACACGCTATAAATTGCATTTCCTCTTTCTTTAACGCGAGCACGCACGTTGAGTCATTAATATTGATGTACGTGTCGATAAATTTCATAAAATTTATTTCACTTAAAATCAATTACATTTTACTATTAACAGCTTGCAGTTACGCGTCACGAATATATAAAAATATATATATTCTTCGATTATTTTTGCCGTGCTTTTTTGGAGCAAATATTATGATACAAAACTAGAAATCTAAATTTTGTCTGCAATCAATATCTATAATTAATGAGCATTATCAAATGACATATTTAAGAAACAATCCTCGTGTTTTTCACCTCGAGCCTAGAAGGAGAGCGTGATATAGAATCTTTTTCGCAATTGGCCATCAGTCAAAACGAAAAGGAATAAAGAGGCGGTTGCAACACACGACGCGCCGCTCCGACTCGAGACCCTTCAGTGCGTGCACGTGCCAATGTCTGACCGGAAGTCGGGTTACATTGTTCCTCCCAAGCGGATGCACATCTCCATAGTTTTGTATACGATCTCTTGTTTACGATTTCACGTGTACGTATGCAAATGTATCCCTTCTTTCGATCCGTGCCGAATCTAACAGGTGATTCTAATGCTCGGGTATAGAAAACGGCATTAAAAGAATCCATTCTCGTTACGCGCTTTTACCTTTAAATGTGACATGTAGAAAAAGATTTAAAATCGTATGCGTTTTAATGAAAGATAATAAGATATAAAATATCCTTTAAATATTATATTTTGCTCGTACAAATAAATAATTGAATTATTGTATCTGCTATAAAATGATGTAGCGAAAGATGCATTAGTCGTGTGGAAGCAGGATACTGCGAGCTAAAATTAATTAAGTATCTTATC